TATGTAGAGTGAAATAGCTTAACTTCTTTTCTATGTGAGATTTTATAGTATAAGGTGTCTTCATCCACATGTCGTATAACATCGGATCATGTTCATAGGTGTCCTGGATGATTGTGATGATAGCCTTGTCCACTCCTTTATCAGAATCACTATTTCCATGTTCCATCAGATGTAAAGCAACGTTTGTTACAAATTGGTCGTAATCAGGTAGTAACTTCTGTTTAAATGCACGCTGTCTCAAATGCCCCAAGAAATATTCTTTTAGAGCCAACAGAGTTCCAATCGTAGCGTGTTGTAGAAAAAGAGATTGATATACATCTTCTTCACTTGTTGATTTGAACTGCAATACCATCCCCTTCTTTAGAATAACGTCATACTTCCTTGTTTCGAACAGCATCACATCTTTCGGAATATCACGAATTTTGTCCTCTGTGAGCTCCAGCTTCTCCAGAAATTCGATAAATTCTTGATGATTAAAAACGGCTGCAGCTGTGAGGCTCGGATTGTACATCTTGATTACTGGTTCGTAATCCTTGAATGGTTGCATACCGATACTTATAAATTTGCTACCGGATCTAGTCAATGGTAAAATTGTTTCATCAACCAATCGATACTTTTCATTTGTTACTTTTCTTCGTAGCTTCTCTTTCTCCAAAGCTTTCGCCGCTGCATCGATTGACTGCTCGACATTGTTCCATTCATCAACAGTTATCATAGATTCACCCTCCATTGCACGCGGTGGCTCGGGAGAAGATGGGAGACTGATTTCAGATGTTTCCATTTTCAGAGGAGGATTGCTCTTCATCATGTTTTGGTGTTTGGTATGTACAGCGTCTTCGACGTTAACCAAGGAACGTTCTTCTTGTGCGTGAAGATCCACACCTGCACTGGTGTTTTTCTTTCTCCTTTTGATGACTTGTGACAACTCTTCGGGAATATCACCAGAACGTTTAAATCCGTACATGTTTATCTACACAAACAAACAAAAAAAATTACTAACCTTTAATAAATAAAACAGAGTTATTATAACTTACCTTATTATTATTTACACAGACACTAGCACTGCAACAACTAATAATAATAACAAACAATCAGACACAACTGACACTTGGTAGAATTGCAAAACGAAACACCAGCTGAAGCGACACAACAACTAAGAGTAAAATGTGTATTCATCACCCTTCTTCTATTTATATACAGTGGTTAACGACTTCGGAGAGGGAGTACAACAAGAAAATACATGCAGAAACAAGTCTGTGCTTGTAGATGATGACTCGTCTGCAAAAAGTGCGTCGTCGGTATGTCTTTAATAACAAAAAGCTAATGGACAAACATCATAATGAGATGTTGCCGTGGGGCTAGTGATTAATGACTTCGGAGAATGGGTATAACAAGAAAATACATGCAGAAACAAGTCTCTGCTTGTAGATGATGAGTCGCTTGCATAGAGTGCGTCATCATTATTGAGCTATTGGCACGGGCTAATGGTCATTACGATCTAATTTTTAGTTAATAATGCAATCGATCAAAGAATTATCAAAACGCTTCAGATATTAACCCACATCAAATCGTATTATATTCAGAATGAATTAATGATGGTGTAATTAGTATTTTAATCATTGATTCAATTGCGTAATCTTAAAACATTATCGTCTTTATGTACATATGCATGCAACCCGCAATACACAATTAAAAATATATATTTAAATTTAAATTATTTAATTCCGATATCAAATTCATAGTGATCTAATTAAATTTAATAATGATATAATTAATTTAATTACGTTCGCGAATAAAAATTAAATTATGAGTAATCAAAATCCATTAAGATCATTATCTTGATTGACAGCACACGTCAAAAATCCATTAAGATCGTTATCTTGATTGACAGCTGTCAAGATAACGTCACCTGTCAACATGATTTATTACCCCACTAATCCTAGGCACTATCTACTGGCATTCATTTTGCGGAAATTTTTTTCATGTCCAAATCGGCATGAATAATGACAGAAAATCTTTAGTGTCTCAGATATCTGTTTTATGGAAATTCGACGATCTGACAAAATCATATTATGCACTGCGTCAATATTTTCAGAAATGGATCCGAAATCGGTCTTCCTGGTCTATCGTCATCTTCAACCGAAACTTTTCCCCTTTTGAAAGAAACAACCCGTTAACCCCTTTAAACACTGGTATAGTTAATAGTCGATCTATATTCAATTTTACTGATATCCACATTTTCACTAGATATGACTTACTCAAAATTCTCGTGCACAGCAATGCTTGAACTTTTCGAAGTCAAATTTAACAGTGACATTTCTAATAAGTTGTTGTTTGGTACCATAGTAATAAAAATTTGTTTTGTGCAGTGGCAAGTACTTAGGCTAACAATTTATCAAATTACCCTCGTATGTCATTTTTCTTTTTTTATTTATTCTTATTTAAAATAATTTATTTTGCCATTTCACCCATAAAGAAAGTATGATTGTGCCGTATCAATGAATTCAGAAAAAAAAGCTCCATTCAAAAATACCGTAGGGCTATTTAAAAAAAATCAAGTTGACCTTGCATCTCGAAAACAAATGAAGCAAAAAAAATTGTTTGACGAATTCGTACCCCTTTTTGTACCCCTATACCTAATTTCAGGTGATTTGTACAATTGATTTTCAAAATATTTAACCGTTTCCATACATTCTAGCGACCTGTATAAACGACACTAGACTGATTCACTAAATTAGTAGAAGTTTCAACAGTGAGATTTTGGGAGTTCGTGGAACCACTGTACTGTACATTTCAAATCTTACCAAATAAGTTATAAGAATTTTGACAACTATCTTGTAATATACTGTTGCTAGAATGTTAAGGACGTGTGTGAAAAAACACCAGTCCATATAGTGAATTTTGTTTCTTAAACCTTAACTTAAATAAATAAACAGACAAAAATAGCAATTTTACTTTTGTTTTCTTTTGTACGTTGTTTGTATGTATCTGCGTTTTTACAGATTCCATTTCATTATTAAACCCATATTTTCATAGATACATTTTAATATAGGGAACTATATAAAATATGAAATATTGTGTGTACAGAAAAACCTTGATATTATAGATGCTTGACGGATGTCTGGCGGTTAGTATGTACATCAGACGGAACACATCAAAGGAACTATTAAATTCTGTAAAAAAATAATTCAACCCAGTGAAACTTCATATTGCCAAAAAAAAAATAAATTCAGTGTAAATGTACACTGCATATCTTACCACCGCTAAAACTGAAATTGACTTAATTTAAATTCATTGCTACATTTACTCGTAGTTAACAACGTTTACAATGATTTCGTATAAACTTTGCATTGTGTACATTCCTATTTAAATTGTCGCAAATCCGTCAATTTGAGGATTTTACGCACGCCAGACTTTATCGAGAATAAATTTGATTTCCTGTTGGTTCGTTAAGGCTTGTTTCCACTGTCCGCGTAGCACGAAAGCGCGGGGCTTTCAGCGTCACGTCGGAATCTAATCGGATTTTATTATTTAACGAAGCTCGCGGCATTTCTTTACGAATTCACATCCCGCCTTTTCAAGAACCGCGGCAAAACACCATAAAACGTCTAGTAAATGAGTCATTTGTCTGAACACTATACCTTTTGTCTGGCTTGGGTTGGACCTTTTTCAGCTCCATTTCTTTGTTTGCGGCATTGTTTTTTTCAGCAACAGAATCGCTTCCGCCGTGGGCCCGTGATACCGGAAGTGTCGCCATATTGTCGACAGACTCCACCTCAACAGTGGCAACCTTGAGTTCACCACCGCCCACCATTTTAATTCAAATAAATCCAATAACAATTTTCAAAAATACCCAATTTTGAATTCGTTGCGTTGGTAGATGGATCACATTGTTTGTGTTGGTGAACTATCGATGTCTTTTAGGCCGGATCAACTTTGGTTTTATTGTTACTATTGTGTTTGTTTTAACAATTACATCTTCGAGTTTAAATTTAGGGATGAAACATTGATTTGGGTTTGAATGGGTTTATCTTTAATTCACATGTTGACGAGGACGCTTATTTACCCGTTTCCGTAACACTAGCACCAATTAATGACAATTCACCGCGTTTTTTTATTTTAATAATGAAAGCTCGGCGTTAGACGCCTCGATACCGTGAACTAGAAAGCTCGCGAGAGCCGATAAAGGAAGGGATGCTGCAGGAGAGTCACGTGTTGTTCTAGACTTGTTGGGATTGGTCCATGAGAAAAGCTGGCCCGGGATTTCGACCCAGTGACCTCCGTGACCTCACCCAAAACAATACCAAAATCAACAACATTTACACTAAACCATCAACAAAACGCTTCATAGCATCATTAACCATAAAAAAAAATCTTATGGCTCGATTTAGCGGCAGCTTTATTAAAACGCCAAAAAAAAATGTGCTTGAAGGAGATCCGCTGGATGGTCGAGCTTTGCCTCATCGCATCGATATGTACTATAGTCCGTTCCTTCAAAACATTTACAATATGACGTTCATTGTAGAAAAAAGGGATGCTGCGTGGTCTCTTATTGATCAATACCACCCCCACTCCTATTTATGAGGGCGTAGCAGCACTTCAGCCACTGTAGATGAGCAAATGGAGCTTATTATGTTGCTCTCTAGTACACGCAACATGATCTCTTTACGTCAAAACTTGGAGAAGGATCACCCATCGGCTCGGAAAAATTTAAGGCCTGATTACACCTCACGTAAAAAGGGTCGACCTTTTGAAAATTAACTGACATTATAATATGTGCACTTTACTAGTGAGTGGGGTTTTTACGCGCTTTAATTATTTTCGTACGCTACCCTCGTTTTTAACCCGTAATGTCATCCAGTTAGGGATTGGTTTATTCAAAGCCTGGGTTTTTTTGAAGGAACGTGACTTCTTTTTGTCGATTTAGTGTTAGAGTAAATCCTCTGATCTTTTCGCCGCTGATTTGTGAGAGATAAAGAAATAAGGTTTGGGGTACTTACTTGGCATTTTTTGGAATAACTGTTGTTTCTACACAATGAAAGTCGTCTTCTGGTTCTTTAGGCATCAAAGGTGTTCGGTCGGCCCTATGATGAGTCGGTGATGTATGAGAACCGTAACCATCTGCATTAAGCTATAACAAGAAAATAAGGAAAATGTATACACATCTGGAAGAGTATATGTTTTCTGAAAGGAAATAGAAAGATTAAAAGGTCAAGGGAAAGTGTATTAATATAATGGAAATACCCCGGGTAAAACTTTTACTCTTTCTATCTTATGCAACTTGTGTGAGACAAAAAATTACAAAATATTGAGTATGTCGTAGAAATTTTATGTTAAATTTTGAAATCTGTCATTAGAATTATTTGTTAAACAGAATCTTTGGTTTATTTGACATTTTACTGTTCTACTTACAAAATTAAACCAACCCTTTTTCTGGATGAAACATGGATATTTAGTAAAGGTAGTACCTAGGTATATGTAAAAAAACACAGCAAGACGGTTCAGCACAAACTGCAATTAAAAAAACGGGAAAACGATGTAGATATGTTGTAGTTTACGCTGGTAGGGTAAATGTGTACAAGAGTGCGAATATGTATAAGAGTACGCACTGATGATTTCTGCTTATTAGTGCCATCTGGGTAAGATGAAGTTATACCATTCAAAATTTAATGCTAAACCTGAGATAAAGGTGCAAAAGTGACCTGAATACAGTTTATAGTTTGGTCGTACTGACGATTTTATGTTCACACGTTGTGTGGATGTAATTTTTACCGCTCATAGTTTTAGTTTTTTGTAAGGTACGTACCAGTTCTTTTATTTTACAGTAATAATTGTCATTAGTTGTAACTTTTAAGGTGTCGTTGTACACTAACAGTTTTACACTTTCTGTCAATCAAAAGCTTTTAACTTTGAAAACATTAGGTTATGTACAAATGTACAAGAGTGCGCAGCGAGGTATTGTATAAGAGTGCGCATTGCTTGCAATACGTAGTCTAATAGTCTTGGAGATACATATCATACGATACTGCATTATTTAACTCTACTACTTTGTACTGCTTCTCAAGTTGTGTGGTGGTGGTTATGGTGATTTTTTTTTTATTTTTACTTCCTGAGCGTGTTGTAATCGAGTCCGTCGACCGACTCTCTATTTTTACGTTTTCTCGTCTTTTCAAGACCCCTAGAGTACGAAGAAATAGGTCCCCCGTTTTATGTGTAGTCTGTAGTCACTTATTCCCATTTATTTTCACCTTAGAAACAAATATTTTTTCATAAAATGTAATGCGTACTCATAAGCGTTGAAATGCGCACTCTTGTGCAATGAACTGTCTAAGAGCGCGCATTTACACATCTTGACAAAAATTGAAATTACTCTTAAAATATAGTGGTGTTGGGACGTACAATTAAATATATCTGATCTCTAAACATGTATATAACGAACCTATATCATAAAATTTGTCTATCCAAAAAAATTAAAAAGTTGTTGACAGTTTTCCACTAAGTGCGTACTCTTGTACACATTTACCCTAATAGATACGGATTAACTGAAGGAGCGTCTTTAATTTTTAAGGCAAAAATAAATTCTAACAATTATCATGATAATATGAACTAGGAAAATTTTGAAAAGTGGTTTAAAGAGCAATTAATATTCAGTCTTCCGAAACCGTCTCTTATTATAATGGATAATGCAACTTAGCACAGTATTTTAGTTTTGATAAGTATACGCTATTAAGTATAGTGTACTTATAAAAAATACAAAGAAAAAAATGGTGGCATGGTTAAACACAAAAAAGATAGATTATCCTGAAGAAACTGTAGATAAGCGAAGAAAAATGTTGCTTCTCCGGTGGGAATCGAACCGCACGTTTACTGCTTGCCGGGCGGGTGCCCTTACCACTAGACTCCGGAGGAGCTTATCGCTTACTAAGCGATGAAAGATCCGATTTGGAAAATTGTACGCAACAGACTGCCCGAAAAATTTAGATTTAGATCACTATGCTCAAGATCATGAACATTGTTTCCTAAGACTTCCGACATACCACTGTCATTTTAATGCAATAGAAATGGTATGGTCGGAATGTAAACAAAAGTACGATCAAACTATTCAAAAAACTAATGCTTCTTCTTTTGATGTACTTACTGAAAACTTGGGAAAATTAAGCACCCGGAAAAAATCATAGATTCGGCATAGCAAAAGGAAAAGTTTCTGGAAAATTGTGAAAGAAATCAAGTAATTGTCAATGTTAATTCCGTTTTAGATGATAGTCATAATGAACATGACGACAATAGTGCTGATGATTTATAGTTGTGTTAAAAATTATTATCTAATTAAAGAGTAAAATGTATTCAATTAATTTTGAAATTTTGCAATTTGCATTGATATGTTACCATAGCAAGTTATCCGTAACATAAAAAAAGCACATACTTTTGGTTACTAAAAAAAAAGTGATTTGAACAGGGATATTTCCACGACGTTACCTATATTTTATTCGTAAAATAATAAATTTAACAAACACATTTATGTGTTAGCAAATTATTGACTTAAATAATGTTAGTGATAAATTTTAGGTCAAATGACAAATAATCCGCGAAAGCTCATCATTTCGCATGTCGTCGAATAAGAGTACAACAGGTGGTTTTATTTTAAAAATAGAGACGGTTTTATGACTAGTGATTTGTAGATGAAATTACGTGTAATGAAGTTATTACAGTCGAGAAAGGGCAACCACAGAGCAGCCGGAGCCAAAACCCTATTATTCTTTAACACAAAAAGTAATAAATTTCAAGATTAGTATTATCAACAGAACTTATTATAAATATTTTTTGATAAAATATCTTCGTTCACGGTATCTTTTCTTTCGAAATCTAACGACGTACATAAAGCAAATATTAGATTGAATACCTACTATATCCCCTTAAAATAATGATGATGTCATCATCTTAAATAGATTTCAATAGAATTATATAGTGTGACATACTCTTTAATATCCTACACCTTTTTCAATACCATTCGTTCTAAAAAAAAACAAGTTTGGGTTTTGAGTAGAACAATCAGCCTCTGGAAAATTGAAAACAGTTGCGATTTTCGCACAAAACGTTTCCAATTCGTCCGTAAAGTAATCTCTACTTTGATGTGTTTAATTGGGTGTGATGCACATAAACAGTAGCTAATTATTCCCATGTGTGCCACCAGAAAATAAACATTTTTGTAAGAGATTTGAAAATGATTTGTGGTACTGATACATCTTCAGTTAAACTGCCATGAACATGCCAGCTTTTCAATCAAAGAGTTCATCGTAAATAAACAGAGTCGTTTACGACCAATAAAACGGTTAGAATCTTAATAGGGTAGCAGAGGATGTAAATTAACGGTGCTAAAACCCCTGTAATAATTTCTTTTTAAAAATAATTTGCTATTTTTAGATGTACTTTATGAATGTTGTCTGTTCAGCTCAAAGTTGGAATAACAACATTAACATATTTTCGTACTATGACATCCCGTCCCATAATTTTTCATTTTAAGCCTAGCATCAGGTGTTTGTAATATTATTTTAAGAATAAAATTGATCTACTGAGAGTCTGGAAGTAATTTAATATTTGTTGAAAATAATTCTACATGTGTATCTACACAGATTAATAACAAACAGAAACAAAAAATATTTTTTAAGGAACAGTTGTTTAAGGTAGATTTTATTTCATATATAAATTTTTACATAAACGAAGTAATAGCGTAAAACTGAAAAAACAAACAAAAAAACGTAAACCTTTCGGACAGTTTCTACACACATACAACAAACAACGAAGTAATTTGAAGCTAGCAGAAACAATGATTCATCGAAATCATAACAAATTTTCCAGATTTTAGAGCCACTGCTGGTTGCTCTGTAATAACAACATTAAAAATATACTACAAAATACATTTAAAACTGAAACTTGCTTGAAATACATGTTCACAGAGAAAATTATCGTTCTTCAAGACGAACGGTCAGATTGTGTAATTTTTGGCGTTTTTTGGAAGTATAACTTTAGAAGCATTAAATAGCAAAGGAAAAGAAAACAGAATGGCACGGCAAAGTAATCCAGTCAATAAACAACAGACTGGTAAAAATTTGCACATCAGATTTTATATTAATATAAGTAGTCCTATTATACTTAATTTAAAAATATGTGCAAGGTTTTCTAAGTATTGAAACAGATCTGACGAATCCAAGACTAAACAATCCATATAATTCCTTTTTTTCGCATTTAAGGAAAATATTTACAATGACGAGACGGCGGAATCCTAATATTAGATTCTTTAAATGTCTCAAAGCTCTTTAGGCTCAGAGCGAACTGGAAATCACGAGTTTGCCGAATCTAAGAGATGTTTTTTATTAATGATACAAAGCCATGTATTTGATCACGAGATATTTATTCCAGCGCATCTTTTATTGCAGTCAGTATCATTAATTTCTCTTATCAGCTGCGGCACAATGATCAGGGGAGTATTCCATTATATGTCGTAAATGCCGTTTAATTTGAGTACAAAGTAAATTATCTGTTTTATAAATTCGAATATTTTGCGCAGTTAAAAAATGTAGGGTGAAAAGTTTTGTGTAGAATTTGCTAAATAACCCTCGCCTGTGATCGCAGTATGGAAAAAATATGTTTTTACTATTTAGCTAATTGTTCTTGTTCACGTACCCGACGCATTCACCAACTGTCATTTATGATTGTAAGTGATAATTGACATAAAATCATACACCTGTCCATTTTTACCTATGTTGTTTTAGTCTTTGCACGTTATAACCTTAATATTTTTATAACTGTTTCTACGGATAATTATTTCTATATTATTTGTATCAGGAACCGTAACTAAATTATTTATGTTATTATAGCGTTAATACTTATCTAGCTTTTACTCGCGGCTTCGCTCGCTATATTCTATATTTTATTGCTTGGCTGGGATAGTAAAAAATACATTTTTTTTAATAAAAAGTATCCTATGTTACTTCTAGTACCTCCAAAAATATGTGTACAAAGTTTCATGATGATCGGTTAAGTAGTTGTTAGTGAAAACGTAACAAACAAACTCACATTCACATTTATAATATTAGTAGGGATAGTGATATATCAATAATTGCAAAACTGAATGCTTTGAAATCTTGCAGACGTTTTAAAGTCATTGTAAGCACGGTAAATTGTTAATCAAAATAAATCGGTTTATTCCCCCCAAAAAATTAATGACGTAATTTCAAAATTTTTCCGAATAAATTCTATCCAAAATGTGCGAAATATGATGAGTTTTTACTTATGATTCTTCATTGCTTTCATAGTTTTTATTGATCAAATTAAGAACGAGTAACCCCATTTTCCCGAAAATGTGAAAATACAAAAGTCTTTATTTTATAAGAATTATAATAATGATATTCAGAACACTTTGTCGATTGTAGCTTACTACTTAATAGTTTTGATTATCTGTTTTGAGGAGAAGAACTCATTCGAATCAAACTAATTTCTTATTTTCATATTTTCTCGATATTTCATAACTCCTAGACAAGGCCGTAGTTAGGGGGAGGCTAGGGGATGCTGAACCTTCCCTAGATCTAGACAAGTTATAATTAATCAAATGTGAATTACAATATCGAAAATCAAAATAAAATGTAGTGTTTTATTCAATAAGCGGAGGTCAGAGCAATAAAAAAGTCTGGACCGTCGGCATTGTGATCCGGTTATTGCAATTCGTAGAAAACATCTTTTAGTTTAGTTTCTGTTTCACTCTCACGTCTACAGCTTGATAAGTATTATCGCTATTTGTCTTAAAGTACGAGTATCATAAATTGTTTCGTTATTTTATTGATTATAAATTACTATTCTAGAATAACAGTAATACAATACTTTTATTATTAGTATTGCAATGCATCTATCCAAACTGATATATGCATCCTTGCAAAAATGTGGATGACATCAACACAAAATTTTATAATAGGAAAACTCACTTGTAGCAAACGGTTAGCACGTTTCTTTACCTTTACACACTTTACTTTTATTTTAGCTTATAATGGTTGCCATAAAAAACAATAAAATTTCTAAAGAGCTGGATTTGACAAGCTGTACTTTATAGGCGAGGGAAGTTCCGTCGAAGTAATCGTCGACCATTTTTTTTTATTATCAAACTAAAACCGTTATTATGTTATTTCTAAATTGAAATACAGTCGAACAAATCTAGCTGCTTTGAAAACTTATAAAATTTGATTTTATTAAATTTTGATTAATTTCATGATGACCCCTATACGTCAAAAAAATTATATATAACATCCTAAGGAAAAAAATGACGAATGAGGAACTCGAACTTGCGACCTTCGCGGACTCATAAGCCGCAAGTACAGGAGTAGAGAGAGAGAGAGAGGAGTTTAGACAAATTTTGGTTAGCGTTGTATAATTTAACAGTCGGTCCAATAGTTTCGGAAATTATCTGTCTAATAAATATCGACACAGACGACTAACAGACAGATGGAAACGTGAGACTCTAGGGGTCATGAAATGTCGAGAAATATGAAATTAATTTTCCGGATGGATTACAATACTTCCTTTGCTTACATTCGGGAAGTAGAAATGTTTTGGATACATTTCCGGATAAAACAGAAGTGTAAAAAAATTAGAAATGTCATCTGTAAATTGTGTCATTCTAACCACATGTGCACCTTAAATAAAAAAAAATGCTTATCAAACAACGAAAAACATTGAATTTTTGGCCGCTTGTGTGGTATGTAGATAGGTATATTTGTCTGTTTGTATTCCCATGACTTTGCTTAATGTTTCCCTCGAGGGCATACTTATAAGTAATATTTCACTGCATAATCAAAAACATCTGTTTATGTAGGTTCGCATTATAATATCCCAGTTTTTCTAAATTAAATGCAATATTTTATGTACTTATGTCAGAAGTTGACATCTCTAATCGCTGCACTTGAAGAAGTCATGCATAAATCATGCGAATTGTTCATCATTTTTAAAAACAGACATTAACTACAACCGGTTTCGACGCAGCTATTTTTGCAATATGAACTTTTGTAAAAAAAGTCAGCACCTGTTGCCTACCTGATTTAATTTTCATTTTAAACAATATACTTTTCATAAATGAAAAAATATCACAGTCAGCGTGTGGATACATAAATATATTAAAATTAGTCCTATCAAATATCATAACATAACAGTGTGTCGTGTACACCTGTCTTTTACTAATGCGCTGTTATATCAGGTGCATGCAACTATGTATAAATGCGATTTTAATGCTTCTGAAATTAATTATAGATACGTTTCTGTCACTACTACTTGCTTCTAGGTAATGATAACCATTTTATTACTTCCAACGGTATATGCACATTCTCTTGTCAACAAAGTCCATAAAATGTAAATTTTACTAATAAATAATAAGACACCATTTTCCAGACATAATAGCCGCTATATCTAGAAATCGGCAACAAAACCAAAAAAGATAATTAATAATAAAATAATTAAGATTCAAATACCAAACCGGTCATCGCCATCGAACTATACTACAGAATACCAGTCATCAAACTAGCCGTGCAGCTGTTCAAAAAATTCGTTTGATTTTATTCATAAAAACTGATAACTCCGAGATTTAGATGATGCTTACTGATTGTAAGGTTTATTCCGGTTAAAATCACAAAGTCTATGGTCGTGGTGTGCACCGGACTTGATAACAGACATCTATTGTAACATTGTGTTCATGACACGGATGAGATATTCCCTATCGGAGGATTGTATTTGACATTTGGACGTCCAGAAGCACCCTTACCCTAACAATGGTGGCTACTGGTTGTTGATGATGCTGTTGGTCCATTGCGAAAGGCGGCGGTGTTGGTATTTTCTTCGGAAGCGGTTCCATCGGTATCTGCTCCCCCAGGAGGCGCTCTTTCATCTCGTGAATATACGGACACCGTTGCATGTTCGTGATTTTATACTGAAACAAAAAAATGTGTTTTACGGTTGGCGTTTTAAAACTTCTTTAAAATAAAAAAACTAAAATAAAATAAGATGTACTCTTCGGATTCGAACAAATTAACCACAAGTTAAACAACTTTGAGAAAGACAATCAAAATACTGAAAATATGTAGGTGTGGGTATCCATTTAAAAAGTTCTACATATATTGTGAAAATTTATCCGTAATTTTTTGTATGCAGTTTTTTGCGAAGTTTTTCCATTATTTTTTTATATTAATTGTTAAATATTCACCAGGAACATACTGAATTTATTACCGCTTGCACAATATGCACAAGATAGTAGTTAATAAAAAAAAATGAAAATGAGGTATAGTTTCAAATTTCGTAGAAATATCATGTGATGGCGCCAGTTTCATTTTAACATGTGTCTTAACAAAAATCACTCTATCCCCATCTTTATCCGTCCGTTTCACGTCACGAGTTTAGTAATTACCCAATTATTTTTAACGACTTTAATAAAATGAAATAAAATATGTTAGATAAATTATAATAAAATGTTTCAAACTGAATAAAAAATATGTTTCGGGAATATGAGAACATTAGTAATAATTAGACTACTAAAAAAAGTATAATATAGGTAATGTTAGATTCTTATAAATCATACATTTGACAGTAAAAATTTCTATATGCTTTTTACCAGAGTGAACGCGCTACCTATTGAAATTACGTATTTAGATATGTTTACTTTCCCAACGAAAGCTAAGAAAAATTTGTACTAGATTAAATTTAACATTATATTTCTTAAAATATAGAAATGTAGGTTACTCGGTTTTATTTTGTACGCCTTTCGTCTCTTTGGCGGAAATTTATTAGGCAAGTCATTTCCGAAATTACCAAATCGATTAATTTGGAATTTTAAGTGCACCTAATTTGCTAAAAAAACGCTCTCTCTCAAGATAATTTAAAATACGCAGATACGTAGCAGATCATGCTCTCTTACCTATGGTTTAATAACCTCTCAAAAAACTGCTAAGGTAAATAAATTACTAAATTATTCTATACCGAAAAATTATAAATACTGTTACGATGAACGGGTATTTAAAATCGATGTGCGTAAAATTCAACAATTATTATTTTTTCTTAGTATGTACCTCGAATTTACACGCCTAATTACACAGCGGTTATGTACAAAATAATTCCGGCGCAACTTGACTGGCTTCTCTCAACATTCGCTGGACTCGACTCGATTGAATAATAATCATTCCCGAAAGTGGCCACTATTTAAACCCTTTGTTCTTTTCTAGATCTTTCGTGGTTGAGGTTTTTCTAGAGTACCCATCGCGACTTCCGCTTCCAGGGTTTTCTTTAGGGAACGCCGCCCGGCCGCTGTCACCGATGATGAGTCACCCATCCTCGCTGCACATACTAGAAAATCCATAGGCGTCGTACCGGGCAGGGTATAGGTTTATTTCGTAACAATACATTACAACATCATTGCATCTATTTCTTCTCTATTTTTCTCTCTTTTTTTGGTTCATCACGGTTTTTCATCATACGACCTACGGTTGATAGGTAATTTCGACACATTCTGCGTACTCTCTTTTCGTTACTCACACAAAATTTATTTCCTTTCTCTTCGTTTCCGTATGTAAAGTGGATCATGATCTCTTTGTTTTTGGTTGTTAGGTATTGTGGCTCTACTTCGTCTATTTTCTTTAAATATCTATTGTTGTACCTAGAATGTCTTATCTCCCTTTTTCTCTCCTACTTCTGTACATGAAAATCTCTTCTATAGAACTCCTGCCTCATTTGTTTTCCTTGATTAATCACTCTTTCTACTTCCTTCCAATCATAACCACTCCACTTACAGTATTTTGCCCTCGCTTTCCAAAGTTCTTGCCCGTAATTGTTCATTTTTTTTTCATGCATTCTTGGAATATCTGACAGTGTGGTTTGGTCGTTTCTACTCGCAGTTTTACCCCTCTTCGTTTCTTCTCTCACTATATGGCCCAGTGTTTCTTTATCACAACTCAGTGTCCATTTTAAATATCTTTCTTGGATTTTCTCTACCTCTTCAAACTCTGTCCACCCCAGATCTCCACCATACATTGGAACACTTTTAACCAAATTTTCAAACAGCATCATACCATTGTTCCCCTCCCTTCTCTGAACCCTACTGGCATATCTGGCACCAATCCTTCTCTCTTCATTTCCTTTTCTTAGTTTCACTAGGTGCCTTCTTACTTTTTTCTTTGTCATTGGCTCCACTGTGTAATTCAAGCCTTTCCCTTATATTTCAATCGTTTCTTGTCTTTCTGTACTCCTTGGCGTTTTCTTGCCGCTCCCAGCAATTCCATGAAATGTTTTTTCCATCGCTGCATCCCAATTTTTTGTTTATAGTTTCTTTCCTTTTTCTATTTTCATGAATGTATCTCCATTCTCCATACTTCTTTCTCTAATTTAATTTCCTTTATCTTTTATGCTTCTTTGCATTTACTTCTATATGTTTCTCTGACTTTGATAAACTCTTCTGCTATTATCTTTTGGTTTTCCCATGTTTTTAACGCCTTCCTTGTATTTTTTAAGACGTAAAAATCCTCATTTCACCAGCCAGTTTTTCTCCCTCCATTAGAAGTTAGTGCTTCTACTTTCATTTCTGCATTCTTTATCAGTTGCTCAAATTTTTTTTTGCTTGTGTATTAGCTTCAACGAAAGTGTGCGTACTTAATTTCTCATCATATGCCCCACTAGCCCTCTCATCCCACATTATGGTCACATATTTTCTTGCTTCCTCCTCTTTTTTTCCTGTTTTTTGTCATATTTCAACCTCCAGTGGGATATGTTCGGAATCTATGCTTTCTCCTACTTTGAACTGCGAAATTTTTTCATTTTCATTCACTATTGCATAATGTATTACCGATTGTCCTCTGGGTCCTGCATAGATTAATTCGTCTAATTTCAATGGTTCTTTTCCTTCCTTATTTTCACTTTTGTATTTGGATATTCTTTTCTTTCTACTTTTTATTCCTCTTTTTTTCTCGTATTCTTGCATTGAAACCTCCACCCAAAATTACATGGTCCTTATCATTTATTTCTATTTATCCTTTATTTTTTCTTTCGTTGTTGTCATATCCTTACTTATATTGTTCCAATAATGTACCATTTGTTTCCTTTTATTATGATGGTCCATATCATTAATCCTTCTTCTTCCCAACAGTTTATCTTCCCTTTCTTGTTTTACCCCCAATATTAATCCCCAAGCTCTTCCTTTCTTCGTTTCGGCTTCTACCCCCTGACATATCCACTTAAATTCCCTTGGTTTTTCTTTTTCTCTTTTTTACTTGTATCTGTTTCTACTAAACCTACAATATCAAAATTCGCTTTCTTCCTTTGGTCTTTTATTTTTTCCTTATAATTTTTATAATCTTTGTGAATAATCTCAATTTCCTTCATTTGCTTCAGGCTATATTCTTCCCCATTTATATCCAGCTTATTGTACATCATCTTTGCACCATGTCCTTTTTGCTTCGCTTCTTTCTTCACCAATTTCTTACACTTCTCATGTATGTCTTTGCTGTAGTCTTCCTTAATGTATATTCTTGTTTCCTTTAGCTTTTTTTGCCGCTTGAAAGATGTCCATTCTCTTATTTTTAACTCTTACCTCCTATTCTTCTTGTTTCCGTCATTCCTCCTTTATATTCTTCTGTACTTCTATTTTACCCAAATCTTCTTCCAATTTAGGTACTTTTAATTTGCATTTCATTCTCGTTTGCTTCCTGTATTCTATGTATCACAATATTGTTCTTTGTTATCATTCTTTTGAGCGTTTCTATTTTCTCCTCTTCTCCTCTCTAAATTAAGAAGAAAAAAAATGATCAAAGATCCAACAAATTCCGCTTCTTTGAAAAATTATAAAAAAAATTTCTTTCAAATTCAAAGGAGATGCCGTTCGCAGACATACCGACAATATGTTAATATATTTAAAGCAAATAATTATGTTTATACATCGAAAGAATGTCACGTCGAAATTTGTTTAATTTGAATGAGTTGTTTCCTCAGAACAAACAATAATAAATTGATCGAAGACTACAAGTATAATCCGACAAATCCAGCTCTTTAAAAAAATATAAAATTTGATTGCACGATTTTCGTTTTGTGATAACCGCTATAAAGTAAAAACCAGCGACATAAATAAGACCCCCGCAGCCCCTGCACCATACGGACAATAATGTAAAATATGGTTAAAGCACATAACTAACGGAATAAAATGTTCTTTAGCTCTAGGTAATAGCAATCTGAAGCTCAAGTGTTTATTTATGTTTATACATCGAAAGAATGTCACGTAGAAATTAGTTTGATTTGAATGAGTTTGTCTTCCCAAAACATAGGACTAAATGATTCATAAGAAAAAACGTATTAGTCTACTAAAAATAATGGACCATCCCAAGACTTGAGTAAATATAATTTATCTAATTAATTTCAACAATCGTTTCTCAGATAAATTGTAAATTTTGAGATGACCTGACCATCTTTTGGGGAACATGACAATTTTGATTAGCGTTTAGATTTCAAATACACCGAAGAGTGACCAGTCTGAACCGCTTAAACTATGCAAAAATTGTAAATAAGAAAATAAATAATGATGATGATACTTAATAATAAATAATACAAATATTTTATTTTACGTTAAATATTAAATAGAATTTAAACTTGAATGAAATAAGAAAGCGTAGGCATACATTTTAATTTCTATGACGAAGAAAATGTATGGCCATGGAGTATCAAATTAATTAGGAATTCTAAATTCAATACCTAGAGATATATTTTTTAAATTACCGCGAATGTAACGTGACGACATAAAACAAATTGCTAACAACATTTTTCTGCCTAAAAATAGGAAACAACCATAACCACATATTCAAAATATTAACTTAATAACTAGTTTCTAACCTACTATTAGAATTTACTATAATGTATAATTTTGGAAACAATATAACTACTGGCATGTAAATAACAAATTAGTACGTGTGTGCTTTAAAACGCAATTCATACTGAACGAAAATGTTTAATGACGGATAATAATGTTCATAAATAGTAATAGTTCACTAACTTACTTCCTGAACAATCTATAGAATACTAACAACTAGTAGCGTAAAGTCGACTTGAATGCAGTTATAAAAAATTGACGTTCTTCTACTCTCATCACTAAATGCAATACTGAACATCTTGGAAATAGTGGAACTAGGCAATTACAGTAATGGACGTAACAACAAGTAAAGGCTTGGTCAATTGATTAGGTTGTTGGGTTAGTTTGAAACCATTAGTGCTACGTTGCCGCGAATCACTTAAGAGTTTTAATTTTTCGATAAGTAACAACAAGGCCGTAAAATTAATAAATCGCCGACACATATTACAGAACAAGAGAATAAATAAATGTTAAACTTATGAATGAACGATGCATAAATAATAGCTTCGGGCGTGAAAATTTGATGCAGTATTATGAATGGTACGCTGGTAATTGTGATGAGTTAAAATAGCACGTTGAACAAATAAGGAACTAAGTATATACCGGAAATATGCCAGGAAGTTATTTGGTTTGCATAGCAAATATTTAGAAGAATTTTTTGCTAACAGATGTTTGGATGTGTTTATTATTATTTGTTATAATTATAATATGTAATTTTTCATCAATGGAATATATATCGAAAGAGTAATAAAAAAGACGATCAAAGACGGCCACAGATTTTTGAAATTTTACGTGAATTATTTTACAAATTACATCCGTTCTCTTACAAGATCTAGATTTTAAAGCGAATAAAAAAAATTGAATTTTTTCGAAAATATTCATTTATTTCAACGTCTGAAAGTGATGATAAATAAATTTTAGTTAAAGTGTTGTAATTTCAAATATTGCTGTTCAAATTTCAAAAAGCGCGTCATGTGTTTTCTGAAATAATTGTAGAATTTCGTTCTACGTTCTAAATTTGATCATTTCTTTTAAATTTTAGGAAATAAAAACCGATATCAAGTTTAAATAATGTCATCTTAACAGGATCTAATACCCGTTGATTTTCTTCGTTTGCGAATGTTCCCACAAGAATTTTGTAATTGGGAATCAGTATTTTACAACTACGATCATAAATTTGCATTAACGACTTAGTTATTAAACCAATTACACCAGAAAAATACTTAAGTCAATTAAAACTGCAACAGTAATGAGCCTTATATAGGAGGATGTATGGATAATTAATAACGTCGATTACTATAAACAAGTCTCAAAAATTCCGTTATGTACAAAATAATCGACCAAAATTTGTTATCATGTAGGATTTATGATAAAAAATCGTGAGGGTCTATAGACCTGTCATCACGTTTATTTTTTATTTAGTATAAAAATCTCAGTGAAATATAGATAGCTTACTACACTTTATATAAGTAGTTTTAACACTTCTATCAATTCTTGAGAACTGACATTTTATATTAGAGATGATAAAAGCTTTGATAACACTCGAAAACAAAATTACAGGATCTGTGTGCTACCGATTACCATGTTTATGTGTAGAGTATGAATGTTTAGAAACCAGTGTCGATGTTAAGTGATAAATCCTGATGTTTATTTACGTGACAGTTCATTATGATAATGACATCGACGGCTGCATTGTTACCGATTAGAAATACGTTTTCCACGAACACCCTTAGTTTAAAATTTGTCGAATGATACATTATTACTCCACACCCGAATTCCTTCAATTGCCCTCACGTCCTCAGTAATAAGTTGGAGAATCTAACAATACACTAGTGTATTTCAAAGGGTTCACAAATATAATGATGTCGCACCCTTGTATCACCCTTTATATGTACAGTATTTCCATTAATCTTGACAAACTTCCCTTTGTAGTTATTAACGGAAGTTGAGTGACTCTTGTCACTGATTCCCGGAAATTTTATCAAATTCTAATTTTTCACCTCTGTCTGAATTTCATTGTTGTTATATCTTTATGACCCTATTGACTCGAGAAGCGATGGATAAAAATATATAAAGCAAAACAATCAAACAACTTCAAGAAAAGTAAATCTTTAATCTTCACAAAGTCTCGTTCCCAACTTTTAAATTTAGATTTTTCTGCTAAAAATTAACAGGGTTTTTTTATTTGTTACGCCATGACACAGTTCTCTTTAGAAAATAACTTAATATGCTGCGATACCAGTTTATATCTGAGAAATCCACAACTGTTTTGTATACAATGGTTACTAAGTAGGTAATTCGTAAAATTTCTACATTTGAATGCGTAACGATAAAAAACATCTTTGTAAAACAAATTATGCTAATTATAGTAAAAATCACTTGATACATCTTTCGTTGGTGTTGCAAATTGCTTGGGTGTTTAGGAATCGTAAAATATTGAGTATTACGCTATAGAGTCATTAGTGATATATATTTTTACAAAATGTTGCAGTGTTTTTTTTAACTTATCTTCCTCATATTTCTTTAAAATGTTATACAATTTAGATTTTTTGCGAAAATCAGGATATCTAGAATCAAAAGTTAAGACGGATTCATAAACCACAAGGACTTCCAAGAGTATATTACTTTGTAAAATTTATATAGCATTTACCAAGTAAAATTGTGAGGTGATGTCATCAAATTGCTGGTGGGGATGATTAGAAAAATTTTAGTTAATACTTTATCATCAACATAGCATTCCTAAAATACATATTAAATTTGGCAACAATCGGTCCGATAAATCTGAAGATTATGTGTTTAATAGAATCGACACAGACGACAGACAGACAGACAGACAGACAGAAACGGGGAACCTATTTTTCATACTCTAGAGTTTCGCTCAGGAAGTAAAAAAACAAGTGATCGTAATAATTCTAAATGTTAAGTGTCTTATCATTAACGTTGGAAAAATTATGCATGAATTAGTGATTGCTTTAATCAACAGTTATATTATTGTTAGTTAATTTTATATTAAAAAGAGAGAAAAGTAGCTTAAAGTACCCTAATTAAACTATTATTAAAATAAAAAAAGTTTTCAAATAAAATTTATTACATTTTGTCGCATTAATAACTGTATTATTGGTTTGTACGAAATAATACAATCTGTGTTTCCTCGTGAATTTCACCGCTGACAAACAAGAACATATCCTATACATTTCTCGCAATGTTAATGTCAGTACCATTCACAACAAATATGCACTTCATCTGGAATTAATGTGACAAAGTACATGCCAGAATCATAAGTTCCTGCAGGCGTCTCTCGATAACGCCTGCATTCAATTAAACCATATTTCATGGTAATCATAAATGACTTTACCTTATACTTGATTTAAATTTATGTGCGCTTAGAGGCCATTAACACCTACCTTCTGTATTACTTTACTCAGAGCAATTAAATCACATCACTCATTTAATTATGCCTTGTGTCTAAACTCAGCATCCCCGGAACTGTTACGTATCATTAACAAAACAAAGCAGTTGTGGCACCTTTTATTTACATATCATCCCCTAAACGTCAAAACAAATAGCCGTGCTTGACCTGAAAATTTGCGCGCGAAATAATGATCACTCAATTTCTGAATACGTAATTGCGGAATCGAATTAATTTTCGGTGATGGATGATGTGTTCTCAATCAGGAATAGATAATGAATTGAAAATGAGATGAAAATTTATTGAAATGAATGTCACCTTCGTTGTAGGAATGACGCTTTTTAATTTAGAGATATAGGTCACACCCTATCCTATATCGATCAAAACAAAAAGCGCAAAAGCTCGCCTCAACATATTTTTGACCCGGCTGTTCGCATAATGTTAAATTTACTCTTTTTCTTACTCTGCCAACATACTAAAAACGTGTGTTCTCGATTTTTGATTTTTTGATATCATCGCCGACAAAAGAACTAAATAAATTGGCGGCTATTTTTGGCACTTACCTAGAAGTTAGCAGGAACAGGCGCCTCCGAAATACTTGGTGCATCAAAGGTGCATGGTGCAAGGACAACAAAAACAAATGCCTGCGTCATCCTGAGACCGCGTCAGCAACGAAAAGTTTCCCCGGAAATGTCATCGGAAGGGTAGCAGACGTGACTCGGCGGTTAACATAAACAAACCGGAAACAAGTCCGTCTATATTCACAAAATAAAGCAACAAAAGTGCGTCGTGCGTACAACTAGTCTACTGCGATTAGGTCGACGGACTCGGGGCCAACTTGATGGTAGCTTTGCCACTGCGCCGCGCATTTGTCCCGGATTCCCCGCTCTCGACGATTACCTACTGACAATTTTCGCTAATTCGGGGTTCATAGGTTATATAAGGGATGAAGGCCGCGTGCTCTTCACACGCCCCGCGTGGGCAGACGTAGGCGGCCGTGGATGTCAATACCTACACATTTTTTCCAAAATTCCGCCAACTATGAAACACACTGTATGAATAACAGCGTGTAGCTATCCCGGAACATTCAACGACCGATAAATAAGCGGCCGTGTCAACTATTATGTCTTTTGCAAAATTTTGACTTTGGACGCAAACTGGTGAGACATACTGTACATGTAGTGTTTTTTAAAAATTTCGCAAAATTGAGTGTGACACAGTGTACAAACTCCGGAAGCCTTAACGACTAATGAAACACAGATACATGCACAAATGTTTAGATTAAGAGCTATAATTATTGTGCGGCAGCATGACCCTATTCTACGGCAAGCACTTTCCAAAAATAATAGCAATTAGAAGCTCACGCAACCCACAACAAAATCAAAATGTTACAAAAACGAAAATCAGAGCAAAAGCTCACTTACAATTTTAACTTTACATTTGATGGCTTTCTGGTATCTGTCATCGTTTAAGCTCCCGCTGTCGCTCTTAATAGAACTGCTCATGTTTTGTTTTTTTCATTATCGTTTAAAAATTATAAACTGGCTACAAGTGCATGATGATAGGAGAATGCACTTATACTAACATCTGAAATCGTTATGCGCGAATGTGTGTTGGTGGTGTTGACTAGAGCGTCCACCGTCAGTCGTCGTGGAGGCGCCACTGTCTAACAGCGTCAAGCAGTCTGCTTATAACTAGGACTCGTCCTGGAGGAGCTCTTAGAATCAGGTCACCGGGAAATACACTCCTGATTATTAATTTCGTAATAAATTACCAATTTGTCTCCATTTCAGGAAGTTAAAGGGTAATGGAACATAAATTGCACGACGTATCGAAATTCGATTACACTAAAATGACGCTTCTAAAATAGAGCGATCTTCGGAGATGACTCACTTGATAGTTAATCAAGTTGACTGTTCCGCTAAAAAATAACACAAATATACAGTGAGCTTCTCGGAAATGCGTAGCGTTATATATAGAGCCGCCCAAAATTAGGTCAACGCACAGGTGCCTCCTAAAGGATCTCTTTCGCGTATACTACACAGAAATCTTTTGATTTTTAGTCACGTATTACACGCTTGAGCCTGTCGTGCGAGAGGGTGGCTATTTCTGTCCCTCATGCCTCGGCACCCCTCGTAGTCCACGCACAAATTATTACGCATCAAGTGCTTCAGATATAGCCCTCCGTCTAATAATTAGATTTTCGTGGCAAATGGTCCAAAAATAGACACAACTTAGTACCTAGTGGTATTTTTAGTAGACAACAACAACTTGGTACGAGAATCGATTTTTTAACAAGATACAAAATCGAAGTTAATGGACCAAGTTTAAAAGTAATAACACATTTCAACTTCGAAAATGACGCAATAAATGCGGAAATGCATTTAATGCGGCAACCTTAGGGGTCGTTTATCCCCTCCAAACACCTGTTTCTATAAGTGAACAAAGAAGCATCGGGACGCCACCAACGCCGATCGAACGCCACTACTACCCTTGCGGAAAAAGTTCGATCCAAAACAAAAATTTTAGAGGGAAAAATTACAACAAAGAAATTGTGCGCAAATACATTTATATTTCCTCTTTCGCACTTCAGAACTCAAATCTCGTTCCAATTTCTTATACATTTGTACTAATTTAGCTTAAACATTGACGCGCATTATTAATAAAATGTCGAAACATGTACCTAATTTTAGCACTTGCTTCGTGTGTTAAATGCAAATTAAAAAAGCTACTTACCACCCCATATTTCCCTTGTTAATTCGAACTTCCATCCATCAGAACACTCTGTCTGTTGTTTCCGATTTTATTTCCTTTATTTTCTTCGTGACAATACGATATGAAAAGCTGATATGTGATTGGTATTTTCAGTTAAATTTGTAACATTTTAAAATGAAATCGTTCACTGCGTCTTGTAAAATGAAAAGCTCGCGTGTTACCGCACCTAACTCTGAAATTACTATACTCAACGTTGCATTGCGTTGGTGACTGTAGAATGCGTTTTAGTGTTTTGGTTTCCCCCTACTACTGTTTGTATCACGTGACTTGGGTTAGGGGTTCTGAAATGAGGACCCTTGCGTATAATATACCATCGGGTCTGGACCACCCCCTCGAAGTCATCTTGCCGTTTCCGATGTAAATTTTTTAATAGGGTGCAGTATAGTTTTTTCATTTTAGGGTTCACATGTTCTCATGTCAAGAACTGAAGTGCTGTAACCTTATATATTTTCTTACGAGTTCTGGCTTTTAGCTTTAAGTGTCAAGAGACATTAAAATAAACTACACTACACTCTCTAAGTGTTAAAAGTACCCGTATGTTTGTATGTTGTTTGACATTATGGCCAAAACACAATTATTTGTTTTATTTTTGTACCATTTTCACAGGGAATTTCACCCTCTTTTTTCTTTTTAAATTCATTTTTACGTACGATAATGCTAAAGATAGTTCTCTTGTTGGTACGCATTGTACTGTTTGATTATTACAAATATAAACATTGCTGTCAAGGCGCCGCCATCTAAGATGGTGATAGCATCTATTTCCTTTTGTTCTTCCTGTCAGTGTCAATCACCTCGCTCACTGTCACATTTCGGTCCACCTATAGCTTTATATAGGAAGGAATCGGAAACGCTTCTGTACTATAAAACCCGGAAACTATCAACTCTGAATGGTATGCTTCTACTAAATGATGCAGGCTTTTCTTTACAGTAGTCCTCCCCTTTCACCCTATTCTAATCAAAATTCTCCTCCGACCCCTTTAAACCTTCTGGCTTGTATCTCCCTTTTACTCATTTATTAGGACCGTGTTTGTATACATTTTTATTTCTTCATTTTCGTGCCAAATCGAAATTGCTAAATCTAGTGGATTAAACCAAGAAGGGAAATGGAGCACAGAAATAGATTAACTTTATATTATACTTAAACGAAAATTTTTTACGCGTTTTATGCACTTGATCAGAACTCAATAATAATAATAGTACAATAATCTGTAAGCTTTAGTAATCAGAGACAACACAATAGAATGATTGTTCCTTTAAATTCAATTTAGTATGTACCACATTAGCATTCATTTGAAAGTCCACGGTCAATTAACTTCGTTATAAATTTAACTACATACATATAATATAGGTACACAAGAAAAAAATGACATATGTATTGTTTATTTGTATTTTAATAAAATCGATTACGCAGGCGCAATTTACAGTTGTTAAAAATATGTGCATGCCATTTTTTATCAAATGTTGTTTACGATATTATTCCCACGAAAACGGATGCTGCATATCTAAAGAAGTACCACCGGTTATAAGTAATAAGAACTCATGTATAATTCGTTGTTGCAAATTTGAATAGCTAGAAACACTAAAATTAGATTTAGTGGTTAACCTTCCATTATGTGGCTAATGGTAAAACAAATGCGTTGATGGCTTCAGGTAGTGAAAGTAACCTTCTTTGCAATATAAATCTAGGATCATTTTTAAAGTAGGTGTAGTAGTTCTATTTGTGCGGCTGTATTTAAAATTGGCATTTGTAGATTTTTACATCGCTTAATTTATTTGTCGATAATTATATAAGAAGCTTCACTTTTTTTCATTGTGCTCGAGGCGTACAAATTCTAATGAGTTTATAAAAGATAAATGAAATTACTAAACAATGAAGTGTTAAATGAATCAAGTTTACACAGCATATTAAATACGTATGTGACATTAAACAGTGAGTAAATTTGAAATGACTATAATCAGGATCAAAGAAACCTGACATTTTAATACTTATATAAAGTTTTTTCATCAGTGCGAAATGTTAAATAATAATAATAGATACTTTGCCCTGAATAATGTTAAAATATTTTTCATGTTCAACATCATAGTCGATAAGTTCTTTTACGTTTTGCATGCTATGTCGTGTCCCAGATCAATATCAAATTATTGACAAGCTAATTTTAACTGAAATAAATGTTAAGTTAATTTGACAACAAGATATACGTTCAACGGCACGGAGCCTACGGAAAACATGGTACTTATCGAACACTGTTTGGATGCATGTTAAGTCTTTAAAAAATGAACGAAATTTAAAATTAAATTTAAATAATACGCCTATAAGTATTATAAAAAATACTTACCAATGATATTTAATCAGTTTTTTCATCATTTTAAAGTCAAGCGGCAACAGTATTTTATTCGAAATTTTAAAGCAAATAAATAAGAAGTAAAAATCTCCAGTCACAATGTAGTTCATAATCAAAACTGACACTCTTACAAGAATTGGTTTTCTAACAAATAAATTTAACTTTGCACGGATTTTATAAGATTACTTTTGTTTTTCCATGAGAGACGACATTCGTTTTGCGCCAGGAGAAAGATAAAACTTCGGTACAGAACTTTTTATTAGCACTTTGCGAAATTGGAAGAGTGAGTAAATCTAAGGGCAAGATAAAACGTCGTAAGTAGGGTGGAATAAATTTGACTCAGTTTTAAATTGCGTAATACTTTATTACCATACATTCAGTAAACTTGCAATTAAAATTAACATTTAAATAAATAAAATAAGATCTATATACAATAAAATTGTAAATTCATAACAAATAATTTATGAATAAATTATTTACATTCTCAAATAATCTTAAACTAATATGGCACAGAACAAAATTTAAAAGCATTCTGATTGGCACCATTTTTTTTTTTTTTGGTAAAACAAATACACAAATTTAACATTTAAAACTACCGATTAACCTCATAGATAGATATACCTTATCAAAATCGTTAAGACGCATCTAGTATTATAAACTACAAAATATTGTTCCCCAAAATTTGTACATAACAAAAGATTATTATATTACTTTCAACGAGATCAACAACAGAAAATTATAACAAAAATCTCGTTGTCCCGAGAGGTAAAAGTTTGCTGTACTACTACATCGATAAGCAGTTGAGCAAAGTGGAGGTTGGATTGGTGACATTCTTGTGTAAAGATTAATAAATTTTAAATAGGCTGATCGTGGTGTTTGGACAGTGCGAATAATTAGGAATTATTTATTTAATGCGAATTTGTACTTTTCGTGGCTATGTCATAGGAAGACGGACTTGTAAATTGTTATAAAAACGTGTAAATTGTGTGTAAAAAGGTCAAAGCGATGATATGAAGGAGGGTTACTCTATATCAGTCTACAAACACTAACACGAAAATATGTTTTGGATTATTTGATGTTATTAATCGTTATTGTTATTTGAATATTATTAACCCTGTTCGAATCGATCAAACTTCTGTTTCTAGACTACAAAGTAAATTATTTACCTACTGTTTTACATTCCACGGCCTTTGTATCGAACACAGTGAACTATTTCTCTTGACGTAAACCCATTAATATGATTTATGACTATAAAGGTGGATGTTACGCAACTCATCACTTCAACAGTCAAATAGGACATTATTATTCAGCCATTACTACATTAGGCGAATTTATTTCGTCTGCGGAAGGAAATCTTAATACAGGCCGTATCATGTCAGGGTTTAACTACGGATAAATCCCTCCAAAAATATGACCAAGCCTTTTGCAAAAATACTGCAACTGGTTAAAAAAAAATCAATGCAACTTGAACAGAAAAAGCTTGATTTTTGAGCATTCCTAAGGGAGTATCAGTCTTGATAACCAACCATGTAAACACTTAATTACGTACTTACAAAATTTACATATAAGTTGAAGAGGATAATATGAGAACTACTTAGGTTAGAATGGCTCGCTTGGGGGATATGTAGCAAAAAATCCTTGAAAATATGCATTGGATTTTGCATATCCAATTTCCCTGAAGTCTTGCAACTACCAAGTTATGTAATATATACTCGTAATACAGTGTCATAAAATACAAGATTTAATTAAAGACGACTTACACGTTATTCGAACCTGGATAAGATTTTCCTGATCGATAAATAACATTTGTTTCGTCTAAGATAAGCAAAAATAAATCAGAATTGCCCTAACACACGCACACACAAACGGTTCGTAGCATCATTCTTGGAATACTTCAGTCTTAAAAAAAAATCCAAAAATCGAATACTTGTATTAAAAAAGACTAGATAATTTCCGACCGCTACATGTAGGTCGGTTTGATTTTATATGCACGTTTCCAAATTTCACATAAGCAAACAGTCGAATGAAATCTGTAGAAAATCGCCAACGGCATCGATACATGCGTGATTATAGTCCAAGCCCATAAGCCATAAAAGTGTAATTGTATGGGATGGGATTCAGCCCGCGACTTCTCCAAAGTGTTGATCGCCCACATCGCTAAATTTGTGACTAAGAGAAAAGTTACGATTTGCCTTCCGGGTTTCCTTCGGATTTGCTCTGGCGTAACGCAACTCCTTCTCGAAGCGTCCAGTATAAAAATGGTTTGACAAGTGGTTTGCAGGAGTGACGCTAACGCGGTCACCAGTACTAAAACTGTATTTCTCTGTATGGTGAACTGTCCTCCGATTATAGTAAAAGTACTATAAATAAACATTCCAGTTTGGGCACCGATTAGGAGGATGTTATCTAATTGTAAATTCTTGCTGCCGTCGTATTTGAGTTGGCGAACCTGCCACATACCGAGTATGGCAGCTAGAGTGGTCAAGGCGTACAGCGTCAACTCGCAAATGTTCACTTCTATAACCGCCAGGCCGACAAATTCTGACCGCGAGATCAACACGAAGAACAAAATGAGAGAGATTATCGTGAGGACTAGAAGCAATATTCCGACGAAGAGACCCTTGTGGGCTCTGGCACAATCGACGGAGTAGTGATGCGGACTCCTTTTGTAGGCTGCAAGGTCGGTTCTTGCTTTAGAATTGCTGCTAAGCGGCAGTTTTGATATGTTCTTCCACATCACGTACAAAATGGCCGCACATATCAAACTGTACTCTATCGTGCAAGGGAAAAGGAACGGCGAGGCGTCTTGTACTAAGGAACCTATTATGTTAGTACGTCTACACTCGTAAAGATGATGCGGACCCTTGAGACCCCTAGCCACGATGTGGTGGCCGTGCGCTTCCGGAGGATGATCCACTGGGACAGCCGGAAGCCCCAGTATATTGTTCTTGAACGGTATCCTATGGGATATTCGCAAGGAGTTGTTTTCCGGGTTGTAGAACGTCAAGATTTCGTGTTTGGTTTCTTGCACCAACACGTTCAACCAGACGGAAAGATTCGTTCCAATCATGTGCATCAAACCGAATCTAGCTGCAACTTTGTGTCTGTACACCCTCATTTGCTGCAACAAACAACAACTAGATGGAGCCGACGTCCAAAATCAATAAAGTGAGTGGGAACGGACGTCAGAGAGGTCGCGGTTTGGAAGAAGTGGGTCGATACAACCGCAGCCAACAGGTAAATGAGCAATTTGCGGATGGAAATGTTCGGTAGACACGCAATGGTCATGCTTACCTCGTTATTTAAGAAGATGAAATACATTTGTATAAAAATAAACGCCATTCGAGTCGCTGGCGTTAATGCTAATAGGACGTTATGGCATTTGGTGTCTCTTTCTAACTCAAAATATTGTCCAAATTCCAGTCCTGAATATATCATGCTTCCAATTCCGAAAGCTGCAATAAAAGGGGTTTATGGGAGTTGGTAATTGAAAAGCGCACGGTTGTAAAAGGGAGTCACAGTTTTAGGATGGTCTTGAATATACAAATTGCTTACAGTCACGAAACAACTGACGGAAAATTGAGATTTACTATTTCAAATATGACACAAATTTGAACTGCTTTAATTTAATTAGTGGAGCTGTTTACTTAATTTCAAAGATTCTGAGCTATGAGACTACGTGTGTGAATCTTTCCTACTAGTGTGACTCCCCTTTTATGTTAGAGTGGTCTAAACGATCAAGTTTTATTACCGACAGCCCCCATGCGCAGATAAAAACTTCCATAATGGTTCTGTTTGGTCACCGATGGTAAGGAAGCTCGCCTCGGTCTATTGTATATTTGCGAACTGGCCGTATCTGCACTAGTCTCCCCTGTATCATTATCGGATTCTTCGTCCGTAATACTCTCCTCCTTCCCACTTTTAGGACTTTCTGAAAGTAAAAGAGTGACTGTTTTTTACGAACCATTTACATTCAACTATCGTGGGGGACCGTTCCTGCAACATTGCAAGCAACTTTAGCCCACAACAAGCAGTTGATTTACGACACCGATTTGCTTGCGAGTGCATAAATCAAACATGTGTAAAATTAAGCGTCACCAACATGAAACTGGAACCATCGTCAAGCAGAATTTGTAATCTGAATAAACAGAACGAACTGGTTATGAGAGAGGAAAGATTCTTACTATTGCTTGCTTCCACTTCTCGTTTTCTTTTTCTTTTATCTCTGAGCAGCACCGTGTACATGTAGAGGAGAAAGAACATGCTCCCGATGTAGAGATAGAGATAGTAAGCTTCGTAAAATGATGGAGGAATGTATGTTGAAATAACTTCCGCCATCGGAAACGCTGTTCCCATCACCACCAATAATTTCCCGTACAGAGCCGACAAAGTCGTCGCCAAAGCGTCTCTGTAATAGAGCAATCAACGTAGCAATTAAAAGCGTAATTAAAACGAGAATTTTGTGCGTTTTTGTACACTCTTCGCTCAACGAAAATAAAATTTCATTTTCTTGGTGTTTCGGGCGTAGCCATAAAAAGCGACAGGCGGAATATATTGCACAGTAAATTTTATTGATGCAATATGTTCCCCCCCGACTTCGTGTTTTGGCATGCACTTCGAGATGATCGAAATTATTATGGACACACTCAATAACACGCCAGAAGTGTAATTCTTCTCCCCTTAAGAAGAATGGGATAAATCGGAACCGCCGATTGAAAAATCAATACCGATACGTGCGAAAGACAAGTGCCTAATAAGCCACTCGAGAACAGTCTGTTTAAAGCTTTCGAAAAAGTTTTCACAATGGCCACGAAACAATGAAAGTTTATCTCTTAATTCGCCAAACTGTCGTGAATAATTAAACTTACGCTCCGAGTTGCCTCCACTCTATCTGCTTCTCGGCACGTGAAAGTCGTCTCATCACTGGAAACTGCTGATGGTAGCCTAATGGGGCGACGGCTAAGGGGCCAGGTGATAAAATTCTGAAAGCAGAGAATTTGTGGAGACTTCTGCATTGCAAGAATTCCGCCTTACTTGGGGGGCGAGGCAATGTGAACATGTGCGGTTTGTTTCGTTGATTTTGACGGAGAAGAATGATGACTCAACGTTTCTGGTGATACTATAACGGCGGAAGGGGATGCCGGAGACGGCAGCAGAGGGTCGCCGCCCCCAAGTGCACTGCTTCGACTGCCACCGCTCATGTTTTGGGGTGGTATCGTGGGCCAGCTACAAATAAAATCGCAATTAATGCTCGGTTTTAAAATGGGACCCTTTTTAGTCGTGCTTGTTTCCGTTATGTCACACCCTAGTGCCTATCTTGATTTATGGTGAATAGAAACATTTATTTCCCTTGTACCCACACGTTTCGTGCGATCATTTAAACGCGCTTTTGTGGATGACAGTATCAAAACGACAATACCAGCTAAATTACAATTTGATCAATAGTGGAAGTTCTAAACTACACACTGTGTTCTATTTTAGGCGCCATTTCAGTAAACGTATCACTTAAAGCAGATAAACATCCCCTATTTGTTCCCAGAGTCTTTGCTACAAGAGACAGAGGATCAAGCTGTTAATTGGTCGAGAAGCTCTCCTGGTTTATAATAGCAAAAACTTATCTCGTAGTCAGCACACATGCCAGTACTCGCCTCTTCTTTAACAAGAAACTAAATTTAAATGAAAGCATTCTTAAAATAAGCCACATGTGTCCAACAAATTACGAACGTGACAAAAATAGTAGAATCAAATAAAAGCTCGTTTAAAGTTTGTTAGTATGGGACGGAAATTTTACTGTTACCTTTAATGGCCTTCACTTCTGCGGGTTAGCCGTATCGTTCCACCATCATTGCCCCTGCTAGACAAACTAAAGGGTAAGCGAAGCTGATGGGGCAATTATTCCATTGAGCTAAATCAAATCATTAAAAGAGAGCGAATTGTTTCCCACATGCGGTGGCGAATAATGGAAGCTTTCTGTTCTCGGCCACGTGTAAATTATGTTGCTTTTGGTACTGAAAGCTTTTCAGTACACTCGACGCATGCAATTATATTCTTTCCACTGAAAAACTCGCTGCTCGAGATTCAAGTGGTCATGTGTGGAAAATCCTACTCACAGTTGCGATTATAGGGTCAGCGAACTTTAACATAATTCATTGAACACAGAAGTAACTAAAGGGTAAGTTTCTAAAGTAGGAAACAAACAGGTTTCGTTCGTAGACAGTGAAAAGTTTATCCAATTAAAGGGGATTTTAAAATGTTTCACAACATTCGTTGGCGAACAAAGCCCAATTTCGATTTTCTTCCTCAGTGAACACCTCGAAACAAATATTTCTATTGAGTTTCGGATGAAAAATAAGGTGATCAATAGCTCAAAAACTGAATGGAACATAGGGGGAATAAGGGGAGAATGTTCCACTTTCCGCCTGATCCACATACGTCGGGCTCAATAATTTAATACACGTTTTATTCAGATGGTGTTAATATACATACACAAAGTTATGCTACTTCTAGTATCATTAACTTTAATTTTGATATCGTTTGCATTTTAATGTCCCACAGTTGATATTAAGAGCAAATAACGATCAATAAAAGTTTATGCGATATCATAAACGATTTTCAGTAGGGTATAACTTTTTAAAGCGCACCAAGACAACCTTTTGATTGTGATTTATAATCTGAGCTCAGTCCAAATTAAAGTAATCTAAAAGTCGGTATTGGCTTTCGCTAAAACGTGAAATAGGTGGAGCGAATTTAAAATGGAACAAAATCCTGAGTCCCAGCTGAATGAAGTTCAGTGAAAATTTTATCACACGGGAGATATTAACCGTCATTTTTTCACAAATGAATGATAAAACTACTCTAACCAAAAAATGAGGAGAATTTTTTAAACATTAATTGATTTTGATTAATCACAAATGGCCCTGGCATTTACCAACTCCCTATATATTACAGTTTTAACACAAGGGAAGGTTATTAAAATGTTTACACATTTTTTTAATATATTTTGAATTTAAACTAACTTAACTTTTACTAAAACACGAAATATAACTTGTTTCTGTGCAAGATAATGATATCACGCACGCTCAGATTTCAATTATCTACACCTACCAAACATAAATATAAAGTCTTACTCAAGATTCTAGATTTTTGGGCTTTGTCATAATTATACGTAAATGCCTAAGGCTTAAATTAATAGCATTTGAATTTTACATTAACCCCTGGGATTTGATGTACTCCCCTACTAAAGCATTAATTTTAAATTTAAACAGGCTTTCATTAGCTCAACAAGGCGTATCAAGCAGTGAAGAATTTTTTATATCAAAAATCTGTGCTGATAAAACAAGAATAATTTTTACCTGATATTATCATCCAGTTATGACGACGATGTAATTTCGTATTTTAATTAATACGTAATTGTAAATTAGTGATAATGATTAATAATAATGAATAATTTAATTCTGCCTATAAAATTGAAATGGCGTTTCCTAAAAAAATTTAAGGGGACGTTTTTACAAAATTTGACAACAGTTGGTCCAGTAGTTTCTGTCTAACAAAAATCGACAGCGACAGACGACAAACAGGCGGAAACAGGAGACCTATTTTTTAGTACTTATCTCGTAGTCATGAAACGTAGTAGGTCATGAAACGTCAAGAACTACCCATTCGTCGGATGGACCCTACTACAATAATTCCTTGGCTTACTCTGCAGAAGTAAAAATGGAACTGATTATTACTATCAAACCAAAACTAAAGTATCATTTTTTCACTTTAAATCCGGCATATTACACCGGACATTTCAAGTGGTATTCACTTGTCAATATTTCTACAAACATTAGAAAGGAACATTTTTTTATATTTTACTGTCTTCATAATGAAGTAAATCAAAATGTTTCATATTTTTTATTTTTAAACATTGGAAAACCAAAACAACAAGAAATTGGTCAAAACAACCTTAGTTATCGCCTTGGAAGTAAAAATGATTCTGAAAAGAAGCATTTCATTTAAAATTATTTCTGAGAAGTCATATTTCAAAACATCATCATTTTCAACGCAAATAAAGCATGCCAACATAAATAAAGGGTATATGTGTATTCAACAGCACTTCAGCGTCTGTTGTGACCCGAATAAAGTGACAAAAATCGGATTTTACAGTGCTGACTTAATCTTCTCACAGTAATATCATAAAACTTTAACACATAAAGTTGTTCACAGCTTATGGCCTGTATCGTAACTGCCACCTTTTTCTTATCGTACGGATATGGAAAAAGAAACTTGAATGATGACGCTAATAACGAAGAAAAAGTTATCGCGAACATAACGGAAGTGATTTTCGCAATCGCAAATTTAAAATTTACTAATACATCCTGTCTTTGGCTATTATTTTTAATAATTATTTTATGCGTTAGAAAAAGTGTCAATTTTCCCGTAGATTAGAAGTGATGGGACAGTCCCTACTATACAAATGCAGATATTTCGGAACCCCAGATCAACGTGTGTTGCCCTTGGGGCTAACTGTATCCTGCCCAACAGTGATCTCATATATTTTTAACATAAATCGAAAAGGCTTCCTAAGGAAAGAAGCGGGCCATTCACCCCTTGTGATGCAAAAAGCCACTTTAATTTTTTAAACAGCATTTAACATTTTATTTTCTTGAATAGTATTCTAAAAATTCTGTAGTTGCTTCAAAACTTATTATGAAAAACATTCTTTAAAAGTATGTATCCGAACTTTTTGAAAATGGAAAACGATCATGTGATTTATTTTGCTTATCATCAACTAAATGTCACTGTAACCAGAAAAATAGTCCATCGAAAACCACACGATCATAAATCTTTTCGTGGAAGCAATATTTTTGTTTTTATCTCTTACTAAAACAAAGCGCCAAATCATTGGTTTTCAAACAGAAATCGTAAAAATGGTCTCACATATCTCAATGGAACAACTTTCAGGTTGTGAAGCGATAAGAAAAGCAGTAAACTGTTATCTCGGGTAATGTGACAAATTAAAAGACAAAATTTTAACAAATCACGTTAGATAATGAAAACCATGAAAATCACCGTAAATTGTGATAGTAACTAGTTGTCATTCTGGATATGTACGCCACCATTCGTTTTATCTTCTAAAATATTTCTGACGTAGACTTTTTAATTAATAAAAGTTGAGGTGAGTTAATAATCCAATCCCTCTATGAATTTAAAATTTCTGCAGAAACATCAAAGCCCAAAAAGCAAAAGCTTCCATGAATATTTAAAATTTCGCCAAAGATGCGTACACGTTTTTTAAAACAGAAATGATCCAATTTTCTTTATCAGCTACGCCGCTATAACCTCGTGATATTTATTTTTGTACCAGGCTATATGTTCCTCTTTTTGTCGCCTCCCTCATTTACTTAAATGTGTAAAAACCAAGCGAGTCGTAAGTTATCGGGTTTCTTTTTCCAAGAGCTTCTTGCTGCTTATTTTGGTTTTTGTGGGAAAGCCTTTGTAAAATATGCATGCACGACAAGTAGCATGTTACAAAAACACAGCCCCCTCCCACCTTTGGTAATGGAAATACACCTACACCATAGTTTATGGGGCACTTATTTTCCACTCTGAGAACATGTAAACTGTTATTGACGTGTCAGAATCGAGCGCTCACAAACGTGTAATTTTAAACTTTGTCACTTTAATCATTATCTGATATTTACGCTCCAGAACTGACATGATAGATGACCGTTTATAAATCAAATCATCTACCGTTACAATTTTTCCGCTCGCGAGTTACAGAATTAATTGCCGGCGTTCCCATCAAAGAAACCTCAGGGTATGTTAAACCTGTAGCCTTATTTGGAAGAAATTGAGAGTCAACTATTCAAAATGAACTACTCGTTATAATTCCACTATGTTTGAAAGATATATAAATAATTACATGAGTTTGCTGCTCTTATGCGACAATGTGTTACAGTAGGTTAACACATTCAAGTGATTCATTACAAGGAATAGCTACCTAGAAAGTGGGATGTCAGTTCCTTCGAATTTCAGGTCAGTAAAATTTGTGAATAATATTGCAGAAGGCATAGAAAACAGACAACTTATTGGTAGATATTTCCAAAAAGTGTTCGATTATACTTTACATACAATTTTAATCAATAAATTAAAAAAAAAATCTATAATTTTGATAATATAGAAACATAGAGACATCAAAAATAGAGTTAAGTGTGTATTACAAAACGACAAACAATCAGAATTAAAGTGTATCACCGCGATCGGTTCTGACTCCTACACTGTTTTTCATCTACATAATCATCTCTGTAATAATATTCACGAGGCTGACACTTTTTGCTGATGATGCTACTCTGGCCAATTGTAACTCAACATATGTATTAGGAATTACAGAAAAATGTGTGTGTTTCTATTACTGAAAACATAACATGTCATAACGATCAAACAATTTTGAAAATCTAGAATATAATTAAAGTAAAATTAGTTGTTAGAAAGGTACTGAAAGCCGCTTATTATGCATTGACTTAATACTTCATGACGTATGGTCTGATATGCTGGGGACAAGCTCCGGAAGCAAAGCAGATCTTTATGTTACAACCTAAAGTGATAAGTGCTATTGCTAATGTTGGTTACAGAGATCACGTTCGTTCTAAATTCATTGAATTAAAGCCATTCAAATTTCCATGTCTTCTGTCTAATAAAATCACTAAGAGATGTCGACAGATGGACGAAAACGGGAGACGAATTTTTTCGTATTCTGCGAGCTGTGAAGCATCAAAAAGACATAAATTTAGACTTTTGTGCAAGTATGCATTTCATTTACAATACTGTCTTAGCTGAGGCTAGGGAAATAAAAATAAGAGTTAATTATTTTAAGTAATGTCATCAACTTTTTGAAGAGGAAAAATCGACAACCAATGAAAGACAGAAAATGTGAGCTTTTGTATTCTCACAATGCGGAATATCAAAATTTATTAAATTAGGTATTTTATTGAACTGTATTTTTAATGGATTGAATTGAACCCATGTTAACGGTTCATTTCGTAACAAAAAAGGTGGCTTAAAATTTTCTCGGGGAATAAAGGCTGGGGTATCGACACTGAGGTCTGATTTGTTTACAGACGCGTCCAGGTTACACTTAAGATTAATGACCGTCGTGAGCGAGCACGGAAAAAGCTCTTAATTCTGCGGTAAAGCGTAATTCGTAATTTTTATATTAAAGCACAGCGTGAGAATCGACAGGCTGTGCTGAAAGTGTCGCAGCTCTCACGTTTCAGGAGCGCTTTCTTTCAAGAAAACATTCAATAAATCACGTACCTTTCGCCTTCGGTTTTGCCGTGCCCTAAAGCGGTGGGGGTTGCTGTGGTGTCAGCAGTAGTATCCCCGAGGTCAGCAGCGGAAGTGGTTGCCATCTCTTCAATATCGGAATCAATGCCTTTATCGAAATCCATATAAAAAGAGTCCCTCGAATCGCTGGACCCCCGTCTCAGCTTAAGACTCAAATCCGGCGAACTATCATCCATTGTTATTGTTTTCTATCGATTTGTTATTCCAGCATTAACACACACTTCCGCTTACATTCTTAGTTTTTTCGAAGGCATTGTTTTTGGCTGCGTGACGTAGTACCAAATGGTACTACAGTCGGAACCTGTTACCACTCTACTCACATCACGATTCCTTCGGACAATAATAATAACAAACAAATTTTGTATTTTTGCTCGGAGATGATTCTTCGAGAACCATAAAAGACTACATCACACGATTTGTACTTTCATCTCACTCATGTTGCAAATTCGCGATGTTTTACATCGTAGCGCTTCCAACGCGATCGTGCGGTCTTTCTATTCCACACACCACTGATGCTCGGTTCTCTTTTATGTTGGAGCGGTAGCTGCAGCGGAGTCAACGACATAGCTATACATCCTACGTAGAGTAGGGGGTGTGTACCACCAGAGGGTAGATAATGCGGGGTGAGGTCGTGCGTTCAGAGTTAAAAGGGTGCGACATCGATTTTGCTCCTTGTTGGAGTTGCGTCACCTTTTTCCTACTTTGTGGAAATCCTGATCCTACTACTACACCGTTCATTCATGGATCCATGTTTTTGTTGCGGAATTGCTAATAAGCTGAGGCGGTGGAATTAAGCTCTGTACTGTTCTCACGGAAAGGGGTAATTATAACTCTCAACGTTGAATATCAGTCTTAGATTTTCTAATATTCGGAAACTAAATAATGGGTCCCCATTTCCAAGGATTACAGATACTACAAAAAAGTAACACTATGTACAAAGATCAATTTAAAAGCAAGCAAAACTCTTAGTTTTTTCAGTTTATAAAAGTATTATGGGATGGCTTTGTTTTATTAGCACTTATTACAATGAAAAATTGAAAAAATATTTGTAGTTGCGATTAAGGCAGAAGAAAGGGAGGAGTGTGTCTACATTGTGTGTGTTTAGCGGTCAGATTATAAAAAAAAAGAAATAACTAAAAGATCATTTCGACCATTTTCGACTTACCTTCATCACCTTAAATTTTTCGAATAAAATTACCTATTTATGGTCCCTCATTTGAAAGATTTCTTTTTGTCAATAACGTGAATTCATGCAGTTTTTTAAAGATTATGCGTACGTACTTGAATGACCCCCCAGAAGCTCAGAACACCAACTAACATCTATTAAATAATAATAAAATATAATAAAATGAAAAAAAAACACTAAAATGTATAAATACATTTCGAATTTTTAGAAGTAGATCAGGCCACTCGACAAAATAAAATTCAATTTCCATCTAGTCAGATAAGCTAATAAAATTCAAAAGCGGAGGTGGATAGGGTTAGTTTTAGCCTTGGCCCCTTTGAATTTTTGTAAGTCTAGTTCGCCATTTAATATAGTAAAATTCAGTCTTCATCCAGTCAAAAAATCCAAAAGCAGAGGTGAATTGGGTTAGTTTTACCTTTTCGTCGAAATTCGAATGTTTATCAATATAAAACCCCCTTTTTGTTCAATAAAATGAGTGAATGTACTTGCTAAACTAAGACTGATTTTGGCAAATGACATACCCTCCAAGAAAACAGAGGGTGGGTGCGCGGGGCTAATACTTGCTAATAAGATAAGACTGATTTTTGACAAATATAGTGGGTGGGCGGGGTTAGTATTGATAAGATAAGACTGATTTTGGCACTTTTGACAGTTTTAATCATTCTTCAACCATTTCTGAAAATTAGTTGAAAACATTTTCTTGTGGATTTCGATATACAGAAGTCATTTTCGACTTTGTTTTTTCGGAAATTCCTACCGTTTTCTCAAAATCGCTAATTGAAATATGGCAGTTTTTACAGTTTCGTCAAAATAGCTCGGTATAAAAATTTTGTGTGTGCATAAAAAAGGAAATTATTATTAATTTTTGTTTCACAAAAAACAATTATTTTAAGAATGTGCTTTGTGGTTTTTATATATTCACAGAGATGTTTAAAATTTGTTTATTGGGGACAATAGAGAAGTCCAGACAAGTCAGATGAATAGATCTATTCATCCCCACCAAAAATGTGATAACGTCATCTCAAAATTTTGATATCCCCCTTCAAATTGATGTTCCTTGAATTGTGAATTGATAATATGTCGGTATTTTTATTAATTTTACACATCCGGATTAAAGCAAAAATAAAACAAAAATTGTAGACCGACATTTGTTTAACGAACTTATTTAAAGTTTCGGTAATAATAATAATAATACACTAATAACATTAATTCAATAATTCAGTGCTCCTAATAAACAAATCAATTGTTTTTCACATTTTCTGGTTTGAATGTGAAAAGTTCCCAGTTTGATCCCAACATTTGCATTTAATGGGACAGAGAAACATGATATTGTTATAGTGTATCTATTAAAATGAATGTGTTATTCTAACTAAAAGTTATTAAATAAATATTTTAAAAAATACAGTAACAAGGAGAACTGCCTGAATAATTTTAGGCCAGTTTTTTTAATTTTGTTATAGAAATATCGTTACGCGGAATTTTCCCTATAACAGAATTTTGTGTGACAACATTACACAGCTCAGAAAAATTCCTACAAATTATATAACGTCTGCATAAAAAAAGTAAAAAACATGAGATTCCATATTTTCTTAAAAGTAGATTGATAGATGGGGAATATGATATTTCATTAAAAAATAATGCTAGTGTCTACACATTGATGCTAAAGAGAGCTTTCAAATAAGTTTCACAAGATAAGCAACCCCAACTGAAAAATTTAAGATACACTGTTTCGTTTTAATTTTTAATAAATAAATCATAAAATTAATACTGAATGGAAAAGCATGAAGCAGATTTTTTTCTAAACATTTCGTTAAAATACTAAAAAAAATTCTTGTATATTGTATCGTTTTTTCCTTTTCTTATAACGAATCTAAATCTGTAAAATTATACTTGGAGCATAATAGAATGTAAATGAAGCACGTTGTATATTTGAAAATAATAATAAATTGCAGCCTTAAATGAGTATTATTAAAGTGCGTCGAAAAATATTTTCAAAATCTAAGATAAATGCGTAATATTCTACTACCAGATCATTGGACATCCTGTATATCAAATTAAAACGACTAGAATATAATTTTGAAATTGCAAAACCGAATGGTGTGAAATCTTATAAACGTTGTAAGATTTAATAATCTTATCGTAAGAATGGTAAGTCGTTAATCAAAAATTATTGGTTTATTCCCGCTAAAAAATTGATGGCAACATCTCAAAATTTTGCCGAATAAATTATATCTAAAATATGTAAAATATTATCAGTCTATACATGTGGATTATCAATGCATTAAAATTTTTTTTAGAATTATCAAATCAAGAACGGCTCACCCTAATTTCTCGAAAATTTAAATATACAGTTGTGGTAGCTCAGCGGTTTATTGATAATAAGCAAACAATACAAATCAAAATGTGGGGTATGGGTTCTCGAAGTGGTGGCAATTCTCGTCGGGGATGGTGGCGGCTCCTGGGACTCAGAGCGTCGTAGGGGATGACGGCGGTGATGTATGTAGCACAGGGCACCTGGACAGTGTGACCCTGGAGATGACGACGTCGGCGATGCGGCACAGGGGACCTAGAAAGTGCGACCCTGGAGATGACGTCGTTGGAGCGGCGCAGGGGGACTGTAAAACAGTGCAGCCCTGGTGAATATCTCGAAGCGGCGCAGGGGACCGTAACACAGTGCAGCCCTGGTCATGATCTCGAAGCAGCGCAGGGGACCGTAACACAGTGCAGCCCTGGTGATAATATCGAAGCGGCGCAGGGGACCGTAACACAGTGCAGCCCTGGTGATGATCTCAAAGCAGCGCAGGGGACCGTAACACAGTGCAGCCCTGGTGATAATATCGAAGCAGCGCAGGGGACCGTAACACAGTGCAGCCCTGGTGATCACCAGAAGGGGACCGAGACAGTGCAGCCCTTAAGGTGGAGATGGTGGAGTTCCATCTGCCTGGAAAGCGTCCGAGTTGCCCTTTTATAGGCAGGGTTGAGATGCGTGGGAGTACCTGCACAATGAAGTAACTTCAGGTGGGGTGCGTTCCAGTGGGGGTGAGCTTGGTGGGGTTGATATCGGCGCTGCCGAGGACAGCGCCCTCGAAAGGGTACTAGCGGAGCGCTTTGAAAGCTCCGCTACACAGTGCTATTATTATTAGTATTATACTGCCCTTATTTTATTCAAACTGATCTACGTGTCCTTGTTGTTGATGACGTCATCACAAAATTTTATAACGAAAAAGCTCGCTATATATACGCATAGTATGCTTCACATTCTATTTCTTTTTTAACTTACAAGGGTTATCATAAAAAAATAGCTAAATTAAATTTTATACTTTTTCGAAGAATCTGTGTTTGTTCAGCTGTCCTACAGAGGCGAGGGAAGTTCTCTTTAAATAACTTTAGATCAACATTTTTGTTATAAGCTACTTAAGTTATAAGTGAATTTTGATGATGATCAACTAAAACAAATAGAGTGATTAAAAGAATAGATAATAATGTAATGAAGGAACAAAATAAATAAAATTAATAACAAAAGAAACAGTATATATAACCACAGAAATTGTAGCCACAGAGCTAGGACCTATTAACTTATTTGTTATTGTCATCAACTGTAAAATACTAGGAATGAAGCAAATAAAATAAAGTAAAATTCGTTCCCTACGTTAAATATCTAGCTACAAAATAACCTCAGTTAGAGGAAGCTCGATATTATAAAAAAGTACCTACCAAGTGATAACAATTTGATAGGAAAACTGTAAAGAAAAATCTTAGAGTAGTTCTCAAAAAGATAGGAAGACAAGGAAAAAGGTATAATGTGTCTCAGCTCAGTTTTACTGAGTGAAAATTAAGACTAGGTAACAGAAAGTGTAAAAACAGATAAAACAAGAGGGACAAAAAAATAATTGAAACCAATCCAAAAAATGTTCGACAAAGCAACACGGCTTGGATTGGAACTCTCTGTTAATTGCTGGGTAAAGAAAAACACATGTTTTAAACATATGATGTGAGAACAAAAGAATGCCTTCGTCGAATTTCATGTTTGGTTTCACTAATCGGGATAAATTGTGTTAGTAACACTTTATAATGAAATTTAGTAATAATAGAGTATTGATTTCAGTGTCCAAACTCATAAAAAATGCAATCTAGAATATATTACTTACCTACTCATTTGTAATTTATGAATTATTTATTTTCCCTGCGCCATTTCTTGTCATCTTTCCATTTTGAATACACAAGAAGACAATTCTGTGAACAATTTGTTTACTTCAATCCCGTTTGTTAAACATTAACAGAGGTCATAAAAACATACATACTTAAGTATGTTACGTCCCTTAAAATCTTGACGTGTTTCTGTAACATCTGTTAATTTTAAAGAAGTTGATGTTATATGCACAAATTATACATATCTATAGTTACGCTACAGAGTCGATTCTAATCCCAAAAAAAGTTAGGTGGTGTTAAGGTATATGGTGAAAATACGGTTCTATAATAAATTTTGACTAATTGTAGTTAACAGATGCGTCTGATCATTTATTCTCGCATTTTAAAATAATCTTGTTTTTGATAGTAATTATTGAACGAAGGCCCACCTATTCATGGGGTAATTTTCCGCCGCCCAGCGTAACTAATTCACCCAGTGTGTTCTTAGATCGATGAATTTGCTTAATTTTACGGCCACGACTTTGTTAACCTGATTTATAATTCATATATGTAAGGACCTACTTCGCCTGAAGTACATACAGGGTGACTGCGAAATATGTGCAAATATTTTAACCACGGCATCCCCCACCCCAGTAGAGCCGAAATATAGAAAAAACAAATTAAAAATCGAATGGGGCAAAACCCCCATGAACCACCCTCGACACGAAGGCACTGAGCCACCTTGTAAACAGAGTTGGAAAAACGTTCGACTAAAAACGACCCAAACACTTTCAGTTTCAATTAAAAGTAAAACCGACTTTTTGCTGCTTATCATTCGTTCATTCATTTACTCATTCATCGTTAAAGGTCAGTGTGAAAGTTTTTTGGTAATTTTGATTCTGACGGATGTTTGGTCCTTGTCACAACGATTTTACATTGTTTATTGGAACAGAAATAAGAGCAACTTAGAATGCTACTACCTTTTTACAAGAAATGTTGAAAATGTTGTCCTTGACTAGCAATACAGGCGTCAGAGCGTCGCAAGAGGTTTGTTGATAGGCAAAAAAACACCGGAGTAGCGGCTGCCACTTTCACTTGTTGAAGCTCTTCAATAATTTCTGGACACTGTTGATTTCCACAAACGAATTGTTTCATCCAACCAATACACCTTTCTCAAAAACCGTCTCTTGAAATCGTACTTGTTGACGACTATGTGGAGTTCCATTGGACAAAAAGTGAGTTACATAACGTGGACAATCAGTGGACTCCAAACCGTGCACTTTGTCAACATGGTATGGATGTGGCCGTGTTCTTTTAATGTAGGATGCACTACAAACTGCGAAAATCCAAATTCTCCTTTCTGCCCCATCACGACCACGATCGTAAATTTGAGGTTGAAGGTAACATGATCTCGGAGATGCTGTACCACCATATCGACACACTCTGCATTGGAAAACTGGACCATACACCGATTTCAACGACCGCTCGATAATGACTGGCCCTTTTCGTGTTTTTCACGTTGCGATTAAAAAAGTGCCTGATAAAGTTACTTTTTTGGTTCTTACTCCGAGTCCCCTACCCATTCATTGCAGTAATTATGTAGGTCACGAAACATCACCAGCGCGTATAACAATTTACATTTAATTTCAAATAATTTTTTCTAGACACTGCTACCACTTAGGACCGTGAATTTTTGCCAGTGACATAATCATATTGTGAGCTATTGCCCATTTTTTTTTTTGCATGTATTTCGCAGTCAGCCTGTATATTCCGTCAAAAATTTTGACAAACTATTTCCCTATTGAGCACTGAGTGTGTATATTGTACATTGTTTTAGGACTTCAAAATTATTTAAAGTGGGTCACTGGTTTAGTCGAAATATGAAAAATTTTATTGGCGTAAAAAGCAGTAAGCAGGTACCTAACTGCAAACGCGTGCGCAACCGACAAAACAACACATTTGTAAAATCTACGATAGTTTCCTATTAAAAGAGTCAGTTTTAACAAAAGTAAAATTGTATTAAGCATTAAGCGATAGAAAATCGTGCAGTAAGCAGCAGTGATATGCGATAACAAAAACTGTACAAACTGTACATGTTACACCTGCGTCAAGATAAGTTTGCAAAATATTTATTTATTTATTCAAGGGATACCCCTTATGATAAATTAAATGGCATTTGAAAGAAAAAGACCCAGAAGGACATGAAAATTAACAATAAACACAAAAATATTGCATAGGTACATTTTTTGAAAGTTTTTAATGATCACTATACAGTCCTAAATTTGGCAACATTCGTATTCAGATAATTTTCTAACTAAAAGCCGTTCTCAATCAACCGAAAACTGTTACCAATTGTTAGATTTTCAGCAAAATCAACAGGTAGTGTTTTAAAAATGACAAAGGCAATATAGGTACGTGTAGCCAACTGTATAACTCTTCTACAATTTATGATGAGCTATAAATTGGGTTGTTCAAGAAAAATGTAGTGTTTGGTGGTGTTAAACGAAATTAATAACCCACACATACGTGTGTATGAACAGAAGAAGGGCATAGAGAGTGACGCTTTTCATTTTGTAGAGATATGCAAGTGGTGCTTATTTAACAAAATGTCTGTAGATAGATTTATGTGACAACGTTGCAAAAACTTTTGGCAACATTTTCAGCCAACTTTACAGATTTGCTGTTTGCTACTTGCTACTTTAGTTGGAATAGGGTTAGAACTGTTTGTCTTGAAAGCTTGCATTCTTGTGCTACTTAACATTCTTTAGGGTTGAACATCAGAAAAAAGATTCGTGAAGGCTAGGCTAATCAATGAACTCGTGAAAATTTCATAAAACGTATATTAAATACAATCTTTCTCGCAACAAATGATGACAAAAACTTGTTGAAGCAGTTTCGTGAAAAAAACTAAATACACTGTAGATATTTATTTATGTAACAATACTTTGGCTACTTACAAAATTATAAATTAACGTGAATAATAACAGCCTACTTTACATAAAAATAACATCTTTAATATGGGTGGAATTATATACATTACAAGAATGATAAAAATATTAAAATGTTGAAGTGTTAAAATAAAATATTTATTAGTTTTACTTCTTAGCAACACAACCTTGCCAGAGAAGACCTCCACAAGCCATGCAAACAATAAAATAAACGATCACAGTAATCACCACGCCAATTATAACATAGATTTTCACATTTTTCCAAAACATAGATCGAGCCAAGTTTCGACTGGTTTTCCTGAATGTTACAGACTTAAAAAAAAGAATAATTAAACAAAATTTAAAAATGACATTTTTATACTTACGCCACTGTTCAAATTTTCTGCTTTGTTTACCAACAGTTCAAGTCTTTCTCCTCTCATTGCCACATTATCTACCGAACGATAAGTAAACATAATTAGTAGGTCAAGTACAAATTCACTTTATTACCTATATTCTTAACCATAATATTCTTTAACTCATCTAATTCCCCGTGAACTTTTGAAATAGTATCAACATCATGGGATTCCGAATAATGTTTCATTTCATTAGCCAAAACTCTGGAAAATTCCGAGTTCATGGCATATGCAATTGCGTTATTAGATGCCTCTCCATATAGGGTTTTAAATCTTCGTTTGATTTCATTAAGGAACAGAAAAGCTCGTGATCGCTCGAACTCCTAAAACTCAATAATCAATAAACTGTACACTTACACTAGTCAATTTCGTACATCATCCGTGATACACATATAAATAATTTGACTTTCACAGATATAATGAAACAGGTAATTGCCATGTGAGTAGGTAAGTTTATCATCATGAGGAGGAATTTTCCCAATTATTTGTTCTGTTACTTCGGCAAAGTTACCAGCACATGAGGCATATCTAACAAGGACAGTGTTTCCCCGAGAAATTACACTGTATAGAATTGGCATCTAAAATTCATTAATGTTTTTAATGTAACACACACAAAGCAATGACTAATCGCACTGTATTTGTTTATATTTACCTTGACAACTTTACATATATTTCCGAAAAAATGCGCACTTTATTATTAACGAACCACGATTAAGATTACCCACGAATATATTTTTAATATCTTATTATCATCAAAATACTATTTTAGATTTGTCAGAACAATAACAAAACGTCATTCTGTTTGATCCCCACTCTATTTTATGGTCATATGGTGTCATAATGACATTTTGACTTCAAATACGCATGCGTCAACTGCCACAACTCGCACCAGTGGCATAGACGTAGATATTTCCATAGGCTTATTATTATAAAACGTAATTTTAAAATTTGTTTACTGATTTCTTCATAAATTTCTCTTCCATTTTATCGGTACTTACATCTGCATTTTTGCTGTTTAAAAATAACTGAAAGAATGTGTTACTTTTCACAATTAATAATTTTCAAATGTGGTTTTACTAAAATAGGGGACTTAATTCTGTAACTTTTTGCTTAATAATTCGTTAAAGGTTTCTACATTATTAAATATTTACGGAGTTTAGATTTAGTTCGATTTCGTTCAATTTAGTAGGCGACAGTTCACTATCCAAGGCTCTTAAAATATCAACAAATACAATATTCTTTCAATCTAGTGGCTGAAAGTCAAGTTCACTGGAAAATGTTGACGTGAAAAAAGTACACTGCATGGCGCAAATTATGGAATTTCTTTTAAATTTATTGTTATTACGAGGAAAATTTCTAACTACGACGGCAGCTGAGACGTTACACGAGGCAATTAGAAAATGTTTGCAGTTCAAGCGAAAAATTGCAATAGAATATAACACCACGCAGGTCATCATGCCATTCGAAAATATGCTCGAAGTTATCAATTACAATTCAAGTCAATACACGTGCGAAGGAAGAAACCTTGTAATCACAACTCAAGAAGAATATGACTTGTACGAAAAACTAAGAAATAATCGAAATCAATGTCAACAAATTCAGCAGTCAACTAGTGCGCCTGCAGAAGATGCAGCTGCCGGACCTTCCGAAACACCTTCTTCGAAAATAGAACAAATGAATGCAATTCCCGAATGGTTACGGCAGGAGTCCCTTAAATCCAAAAAAGAAAATTCTGTGAGTGAAGACTACATAATTGACAACTTACATGCAATTCTTAAATCGCAGGAATATCTATTTAAAAACGTCATCAAATTAGTGAAGCTTCTTGAAAAAAATGAAGTATTGACGGGAAGGAATCAGAAGCTGGAGAAAGTTAAAAAGAAGTTAGTTGCGTGTACAGATATTTTGTCTAACAATGCTCAAACGCCAAAATTTTCGAGCATCATCAACAATATCATCGAAGAAGAAATAACACGCTGCAGATTCAGGCACGGTGAAAGCAAGACTAGTGCTGAAATAAATCTGAAGGCCCCTCGAGTAGAAGGAATTGAAGTCGCACTTGACACTTCACATATCAAAAAACTGCAAAACGTGTACAAAGAGAAAGACACAAAACACGTAAAGGTATCAAAGAAACAAGAAGAGAAACAAGTAACAAAAATAGTCAAACAGGAAGATAAACGACTAGTACTTGTAACAAAACCTGAGGCACCCAAAATAAATGTAAAAGACGACAAAATCAAGGAAAATAAAAGCGACGCCAAAATAAAGTTAAATACGCCAGAAGCTTTGAGACGAACCAAGTCTGACTCACTTGTACATGCAAACAAACCCGAAGGCATACACAAATTAAATAGGAACACTCAGACGTTCATAGAAGAAACACTCATGGATTTAGAAAATTCGAAGAAACTCATACAGGAAAACGAAAGACATTTTAATAGGTTTGAAAAAGCGTTATGGCACTCTTTAACAACGGTTAAATTCATGGCTCTAAAAGATGAACACATGAATATGTGTAAATGTGCGTTTTATAATAAAAGACACTTTATAGCAACGGAAAACGATATACTGAAAAAATTTAAACAGGAAGCAGAAAGCGAAAACTTTAACAAATTTAAGGAGATCAATAATAAAATGTTCCAGATGGTGGAACGGAAATTGATGTTTGAGTCAGTGCGTGAAGAACTGAACAACAGTGGTCACTTTTTACCACCTGAAGAGAACGGAATTCCACTGTCAGGAGGGGACAAAAAAAGCAAAACTCAGAAACATGTTACAAAAACCGAAATAGTAAAAAGTCAAAAAGCGGAAGATCAACATGCAATCAAGGAACTCACAACAGAAAGAAACCAATTTCAGAACATCGTAAAAGAAAATATAGCAGTAAAAAGTCCAAAACCGGAAGATATCGTGAGTGAAGATAATCCCTTTATGAAGTTACGGGAAGAACTGCCACAAAATAACCTAGAACTGCGAAATCAAGTGAATGTCAAAACACATTTTCAACAAATAGGGTTCCCTCAGAAGTCACAAACAAAACTTCAACTGCAACACAGTGAATCAAAACGGACAAAAGAAGATAAAATAGGTAAGTCAAATGTTAGTGTTAATCCTTTCACTGAGAGATAATTTTCAGGAGAAAAACCAACAGATACGACGAAAAACTCAGGCACTATTTTACAAAAGAAATATAGCAGTACAGTTATGAGTGGTGATAATAAACATCCCTCATGTTCTGAAGATATAGCCATTCCGATTGAAAGTCTCCAAAAAATTCGTAACGAGCAAGAAACAAATACTATTATTAACAGCTTCAAGTCAATAAAAAGCAAGGATGCTAATTTAAGCGCAACACAGGATGAAAATATTTCAAAAACTACAAAAAAAAATGAGACTGATAACACACCAATAGCAAGGAAGAGCTCAGAAGAATATAAAACAAGTAATACGAAAGACGAAAAATATGTAGGTTTTAATATCAACCCTATGGACAAGGATTCTGTTAATATAATTAGAAGTAATTCTGAACCGACTTATAACAATGTGAAGATTCAACGAGTAATTAGCTTCTCGCGCATTAAAAAACTACGATACCCTCTCAAAATGGCAGAAGTCGACAGATTGAGAAGTATTGACAGAAATGAAGTTCTGGAACAAAAACATTCAGAAATGTTTCCAAAATCTTCTCAAAAAACCAGATCGCGTAAAAAGAAACTATATTTGAACCAACTTTTGAAAAAAGGTAATGTTGTAAAAAAGAAACAATGTGTAGAAGAAAAACCTACACGTGTTCACTCTAGTCCTTCACTGTTAAAAGGGGCAAGTGTCCCAGTTACGCAAAAAATTGAACTTTCTCAAAATTTGCCAGAAAAATTGGCTTCCGAGGAAAAACAACTTTCAGATAACGTAAATATCAAAGAAAATGCCGAAGAAAAGCCTCTAGATAATCCCTTACAACTAAACACGAAAATAATTTCAAACGTGGAAAACATAAACATTAATGTAGAAAAAAATGCAGAAACTTTACCTCTCCTTTGTGAAGAAGAAACATTAAAAACGCAGAACTTATCAGAAAGAACTATTTTGAAAAATGAAGAAGCAAAAGAAAACCTAGAAGAAAAGTTTTCTGAACATTCTCTAGAGAAATTAACATTGCAGCAAAACCTTCCGAATAGTATTACAATTCCTACAGATGTCTGCGGAAACGAAAAATTGCCAGATGATTTATTAGGCAACGCCTCAAGAGCACCAAAACCAGAACGCCATTTAGTACAAAGTGAAAGTCTTGATAAAGAACAGATACCAGAACAAAAACAGATTGTAGATAACCGCGGTCTCGATAAAAAAACAATTATAACGCAAAAATTAATACTTCCTCAAAACATGCTGGAAAATAAAGGATTGAAAAATCTAGAAAAAAAGATTGCCGACCTGTGCGCAACATCACAAGAAAAAAAGTTTGTTATGCCTGAATTACATACTATGCCATCACGGAAAATTCCAGCAGCAGTAACAACACCATTTAAAAGTGAACTACGACCAAAATATGCGAAAGAACAAAGAAAAGCTCCAACAACTAAGTCCGCAGTAAGGGGCGAAGTGATGAAAACACAATTTCCAAAACACCATGCTTTAACACCACAAGCTGTTTCTGCTTCAGTTGCCTCTGTAAACAAACAAAAATTGTGGAATAACCAAAATTTCACCAATGCAACAAGGTTGGTTCCAGACAAACCACAGAAAAGGCCACCAAACTGGAAAGTTACGATGGAAACGGTTTCGTCGGTAGGTGAAATGAATAACTTCGCAGACATTCCAAATTTTCAAAGCCATCAAGAAAAAGTATCCCCTAGAAGTGCTGCAAGCACTTCAGCAAAAGCGCAAAAAGTGTCTCACGAAAAGCGTGTAGAGATTGTGGAAAAATATTCACAAAGGACATCGCCACAGCCACTTCCTAATTTCAAATCTCTTGATAATAATGTAGTCCAAAAGAAGAAAACTACTCGAAAATCGCCAGAAATTTTTGTATCAATTAAGGAAAATACGTTTGCCAACATTAAAAGAGATATTCTCATGCAAGTAAATGCAAAAAAATTTAACAAAACTAAAACTGACGAAAAAATATTAGCAAATGCTCCTTCCCAACAAATTACAGTACAAAAAGGCAATAAAAAGCAACAAGAATCACACAAAGAAGTGTTACCAAATGTTCCTTCTCAACAAATTACAATTCAAAAAGGGGGTAAAAAGGAACAAGAATCACACTCTGTTCTGAAATTTTCTTCTCAAAAAACTGCGGCACAAAAGGAAAAAATATCACAGAAATCTAAATTGAAAACTGCTGATACTAAAATGGGAAAATTGCTTACTCCTTCTGGCGATGCGCAAAAAAAGAAGGAAGAGAAGAAACCCATGTACACGGTGGAACCGAAAAGCGAAACTGATAAAGCAAAAAAAGAAAAAATGTTTAAAGAACTCGAAGCCACAATACGGAGTGTTAAAATTTTCGTCGATAACACTCCTAAAAGACCTACCAGGTTCTCAAAGGCAACAAATGAAAGGAACAAACGTAAATTGAATGAACCAGTTAGTAAATGTATGTCCACGAAACAACTGGCAACTATTCTCAAACAACAATCTGGCAGCTCTAAAATAAAACAAGAAATCAAGTATAGCAACACTTCTGAACAAATTAGTAATGACATTATACTAAGCAAACATCGTCCATTCAAAGAAAGTAGAAAGCCAACTAGCAAATATTCACTACCCAGCGAAAAAACGTTCTTAAAAAAATCGAAAAATATCCACACGCAAGAAAAAGAAAACAAAGAATCGCAGACGAAGATAGCTGAAAATTGTCGACCGAACGTGCAAATGCTGCGTACTACGAAAAATGCTATGAAGAGACAACAAGCATCAGTAATGACACCGAAACTTTCCAAAAATAATGAAGACAAAAAAAAGTCGCAAACCAATGTGCCTGCAGTTAAAGATACGTATGTCCCAAAATCGGGTCAAAAGAAGCAGCCCGTTGAAAAGAAAGGCTTGGTGACTGATCACGTTACCAAAACGGAAACTCATGTTGGTGCCATTGCCAGAACTGTTACTCCTCGAAGTGCGTTCAACAGCTCGATCGTAAACAAGAATGTCAATAAAGCGCCGTGTGGAAAAATTTATTGTGTTAAATGGAAAACAGAAAAAGTTACTGAAACTCTCGATACTCCTAAAACTTAGTGTGTTGCACGCGTTACAAGATTGTAAAATGTCTAAAAATGCAGTAAAAATGCTACTTTATGTGAGACAAAAAAGTTTTAATCTCCAAGCAAGCGTGGTGGCCACAGTAGAAATGTGTGTCATTTTTTGTCTAATTCTCAGGTCATGTCTCAAAAATATACATTACGTTGGAATCTACTGGCTTTCTTTTTAAAAAATTGACAAATTCCCACTTCATTATTATTGACATAAAACAAAAAACCTGAAAAGCAAGCATCATGTTTAAAAAAAGAGTTAAATCACAGATAAAATTTAGCGAGAAAGAAATGTCATTTGTGCCCAGTAAAAATTTTCAGGAGATTCGTTTATTATAAATTATAAGCTGTGTTGTTAAATAGCTAACTACAAGTAGTTAAAAATATAGTTCAACTACTGTCGGTGAAGTTATATAACTACATTTTTCGTTTTTGTAGTTGAAATGTATTTCAACTACAATTCTGATAAATTTTTAACTACAATTTAACTACATTTTTAATTACATTCTTGAACAGTCTTTTCTAAATTTTATTGGGTTTTAGAAAAGGAACAGGTAATTTGTTGTTGCAAAAGTAACAGGTAACAAGGACGTGTATATAAAATAATTTGCCACCTATCTTTAAATCAGAGTTTTTTAAAAGAATTGAAGTCAATGGTGACAAAATCAAAGCGAAGTGCCAATAAACGGTTGCAATAAATCAACCACCAACTTTTTAACACATATAAGGGTAAGTCAAGTCCAATTTTGATTTTTTAACATTTCAAAACATCAGCTTAATTTATTTATTTATTTTAATTTTCAGAGAAAACATCCAAATAAAGTGGACTTTTTGAACAACTTAATTATTCATTAGCCTATTCGACTAGAAAATCAATTTCTTCTGATCAGGTAAAGAATTACCTCTATATTTGATTTGCGATACAAATTAAGATCAATTAGAAATACCTGGATACTATATTATGATTTTTTTTAGTTCAATGCAGCAGTTTTACAGTGTACATATTAGAAGAAATGCTGCCAATTTCTACAGTTGATAAACCAAGCTTCAAAAATATGTTACATGTCGTCTCTAACGGTGCATTTAAACCTGGTTGCCGTTAAACTTTGTCAAAACAAATTTCAAATCACATGGAGAACTGTAAGCGTAATCTAAGGAGTATTATGGAAACTCAAGATTTGCTGTGCACCACTGCAGATATTTGGTCAAAAAACAATAAAAGCTTTTTCGGGATTAGGGTCCATATTATGGATACCGAATCTCTTGAAAGGAAATCTTTTGTTTTAGCTTGTAGCAAAATTAAATATTCTTACACTCACGATCGAATTGGTAATATTCTGCACAACATACACCAAGAATTTATTAGCGATATTTATAAAATTAGCGGTACTGTAACTGATAATGCTAAACATTTTTGTAAAGCTTTTAAAATTTTTTTAAACGAAAATACAAATGAAAATGAGCCTAGCTCATCTCAAATACATAGAAGTAGGAAATGAAAGAGGAAAAGATGACGTTCAGGTTCATGATTTGAATTTCAATTTATTAAATAGCGACGACGATTTGGATGATATATGTCCATTTATTTAAACAATTTAAATGTTGCTCACACAGGTTAAATAAAATATGGATAGTTGATATACAAAAAACCGCATCTAATAGTTCTAGCAATCTTGAAAAAATTTATCATAGTGTTTTTGGCAAACTATCAGCGATTTGAAATGCTGACAGTAGATCGACTAAAGCTTCTGATGAAACTGAAAATATGTATGTCACAGAAAATTGACTGTCCCTTGTGCTACAAGGTGGAACTCTTTGTTCCATTCTGTGGGGGTGATTTTACAGATTTCAATCCATTTAGATAAAGTATGTGAAGCTTTGGGAAAGCCAAAATAAAAAAATATTGAAATTGAATTTCTAATTTACTACGTCGATGTAATGCGACCATTAGCATCCGCGATTGATGTATTACAAGGTGAAAATCAATGTTATTTAGATACGTCCTCTCTAGTATTTTACAAATTCTGTATAGTGAAAACAAATCTAAAGATCTATTATGATTTTGTGGGCCATTGAGGAGTACTATAGTAGAAAATATTCAGCCACGCTTTCAACATACATATACTTGACTTTAAAAATATCTTGACTGAAGGTCTTACACAACTATCTCATTATCTTATAATTGGATTGATAAAAACCAAGAATTTGATAAATATACTAAGTGCAAAAAAAATCCGAACACTTGGATAGAATAATCATTTTTTGAAAATCTTTTGGGTTTACAGTCTACTACTTACTACTAGTAAATGATGAAAAATTCAAATGGAAATATTAACACCTAAGCTAGTAATGGGTTGGAGCAGCCCTGTTATTGAGGCATTCGTTTACACGTCTTGGCATGGACCTAATGAGTCGATCAATGTCATCCTGATTTAATTCATCCCGAGCAGCTTATACTTCACGCTTCAGGTCGTTTAAAGTTTGTGGTGGCCGCTGAAGATGAGTTAAACGTCGTCCTATCATATCCCATACATGTTCTGTGGGTGAGAGGTTAGGAGATCTAGGAGGCCATGGCAATAACTCCACTTCATATTCTTCAAAAAAGTTAAAAGTGTTTCTAGCGATGTGTGGACGCGCATTGTCTTGTTCAAAACCAAGCCCAAGTTGCGTTCTTAAGAAGTGAAGCAGATGTGGTTCTACCACTTCTTCCACATATCGCGGAGAGGTCGTACACCCCCTAATAAACACTAACGTAGATCTACTACCGTAAGCAATGCACCCCCACACCATTAATTCTACTGTGCGGTGTACATGTCTTTCCATAGCAAATTGAGGATTTCGTCTTTCTCCACGTCTTCTTCTCACTAACATACGGCCATCATGCATGGATAAACAAAAGCGCAATTCGTCACTGAATGCAACAGTGTTCCATTCCTTGTCCCATCCACTACGTTCCCTGCACCATTCGAGTCGTTAACGCTTATGTGCAGGTGTTAAAGGTAAAACAAAGTGTGGGTGGTAAGTTTTAAGGACAAAAGATCTAATACGGTAGTATACGGAACGCATGTTTATAGGTCTAACAACATCAGCAAACCATTCGTTGGCAATTGCCCGAGTTGTAGACTTTCGGTTTCTTAGAGCTAACAAACGCAGACGATGGTCTTGCCGCCCAGTGGTAGCTCTTAGTCGCCCGGATCCTTCAGCTCTGTGCTCTGTGTCTTCTACCGTCTTGACTTCACGCCTGCCAACATTCCGTCACTGTAGACACAACTCTGTTAACACGAAGTGCAATTTCTCTAAAGGACAATATTGCTTCATGCATGCCTATTATTCGACCCTTATCAAAGTCACCTAATTGTGAATACTGAAGACGTCTTCGCACTGGGGGCATGTTAACGGCTTTTTAAGGAATTTAAATTGTCGAAATCGAATACCGAAAAACGTCAAAATTTTACAGAACAGCCCCATATTGCTAGACCTCAAATCAGGACAATAAAAATTAAAATGACGTAAAAGTTCTTCAATTGTCTTCATATGTTCATCATTTCTTACTTATACAACAACCAATGTGTGTATAAAATTTCATTTAAAAATATTGACGTTTTCAAGGTGTTCGGATTTTTTTTGCACTTATATCACATCATCAAAGACTAATTTTTAGAGGAATTGTATAAATAATATAATAATGTTGAAGTTAAGGCTCCTCCTTACAGTCATTAAAATATGCTGAAATACGGCAAAACGCCACTTCCAATATCATCCTTCCTATAGCACTTGAAGACTTGTGGGACATATCTACTTGTTCGTAATACGAAAATCTTCATGGAAATAGTTTTTATATTGCATTAAAGGCTTTCGTTTTTTTAATTAAAAATAAAAACAGAAAAACCTCTTTTTCTCTTTGAGCCAAAGCTATAACGTATTTTGGCTTAAAAAAATCTGACAGTGCAGATAATATATTGCGCACCTGGGAATAGAAATTATTTTTTCGTTAAACTATCCATTTTTTAGTTATTGTTGATTAAAGCAAGACCTAAGAAGGACATTTTTTGTAAATGTAGGCAACCAAACATCTTCTTTCGTCAAGAAAGAGCCAAGAAAGTGTATGATTTACGATGGGGGTTGGCCACTACTGATAGATTAGACGGATTTAAAACCCTTGTTGAGAAAGTATGCAAATGAGGTGACCGTAGTGTGTTCTACCTATTTCACATGGTAATTTCGTTTACGAGGAATAAAAAAAATCATCAGAATTGAGATAGGGTGGGTGGGCGGGGCTTATATTTTGCTTTTTTTTCTTAATATACATAACCATCTTTTCACAACAAAAAACGTAAAACATGATTAAAATAGTACATTTTTGCAAGGAAGTATGGATTTTGCAACCATGAGGCGGAGCCTAATTGCAAAATCGATATTTCCTTAAACAAATTTTCCATTTTAAACATGTTTTAAGTTTCAAGTTTCATTATCAAAACAAAAAGGCATAAAGTAGGCCCGCCCACCTGCCCTATCTCAATTGTGATGATTTTTTTTAATCACCGTAAACCAAGAGCTTAACTGCAAAATTCTTATTTCTTTACAAGAAATTAAAAACATGTTTTTGAGTATCGTGTTGTTCAAAGAATACTATGTATATTAAGAAAAAAAAAGCAAAAAAATAAACCCCGCCCATCCACTCCATTTCAATTGTGATGATTTTTTTATTCTTACAAACTTAAAGGACGTTTAAAATAGTAAATTTTTGTAGGGAAATATGGATTTTGCAATTAGGATCCGCCCCTAGGTCTGGCAACAAATGAAAACTTCATTACTACATATTTAGATCAGGGCAGGTACATCTTTGGCTTTAATTTTTTCTTAATATGTATACATAGTATTGTGGTGACCAAATTTGAATCAAATTTTCGCGCTGAAATTAATTAACAGCGGCGCGAAATCACATTTGAATAATTTGAATTTGAAAAAAAAACAACCAAAAAAATCGTTAAACACAGGCGCCCAGTTTTCCCCAACACGTGTAGCTAATTCTTGCGGCTTTCTAATCGAAAAAAGTGCTAATTTTCGACCGACGTTACACGTACTCTAAATTTGTTTTGTTTGTAAATTCACCGATCAGGTTAGGATTTTAATCGTTAACTGGTTCTAACACAATTTAA